TCTTTCTGATCCATTCTTATCCCTAAAAAATCGTATTCATGCATCCTTATCGATATTTCTGGCCCATTCTCATCCATAATAAATCGTATTCCGGAGTCTTAGTATTCTGACCTCCACTTATTCGTAATAAATAAAATTCCGGGTCTTGGGGCTCTTTCTGGTCCATTGGTCCATTCTTATTATCCGTAATAAATCATATTCACGGATCTTGGAGGCTCGTTCTGGATCATTCTGAAATATATCGTATTCTCGGAACTTGGAGGCTCTTTCTTGAGACCGCGCACTAACAATTCTTTCTGACCCACTCTTATCCATAATAAAATTCTTCACGATTCGTTACGAATAAGAACTAGCCAGAAAGAGTTGTCAAGACTCCGGAATACGATTTATTATAAATACGATTGGATTAGAAAGAATCATCAAGATCCGAAAATACGATCTATTATGGGTTCTTTCTATTCCATTCTTATCCGACCGAAAATAATATTAATTTGGGATTCAATCGATATTCCTCACCAATATCAAATATTAATGAACCAAATTATGAAAAGATATGGATATTATTCTAAATTCTTATGCCAAGCCTAAGGCCATAAGGTTACCTTGCGTCTCGCCCTTGCCCCGCCTTGCGCCGTGCTGGTGTTTGGCCATGCCGGCAAACATGCCAACTACAAAGCGTGGTACCAATAAGGTTTCTGGGGTTTATTGGAGCGTTTGGAATAAACGATTCTAGAGTTTTTCAAACAGATGACCTGATTTTAGAGTCTGGGGTTCTTAGCCCTTATATTCGCCCTTGCGTCCCCTTACGCCATATTGATTTTTGGCGTCATAGTTATACGAAGGTCCCATACGTGCTGACGGCCCAATTAAGCACGAAGAAGCGGGGATTTAGAATAATGTCCATATCATAGAATATATAATATTGGGCAAAATCGTATTAAATATTTAATTAGAAATAATTCGAATCCATCCATCAATTCAAACTCCGATTAATTATCAATTCTCGATCGATCCCATTCATTAAGCTAATATAAGAAATCATTATAGATAAATATAATTATTTCCTTAAATAAATTCTTTTAATCGAAATTTTAATTAGGGAAGATCCCAAAATGATAATAATAATGAATATATATATATATATATCATTTCAATCGGTATCAAACCCAAGATAAATTAATCATAAATATACGAAATCAATACCCTCAGAGATAATATATAGAAAGAATAATTAGAATATATAAGAAATATCAATTCTCGAATCAATTAATCCAAACTAGAGGGGACCCGTCGATTCCATCGACGGCATATACGTCTGCCAATCTCTAAAAGAAGCTAAGGAATATCGAGAAAAAACGCGGACGGAAAATACGGACCAAAGATCAGAGTAAATAGAGAAGAATTAAACCTCACATCCTAAAATATATAAGAATGACTCCCAGATAATTGGTGGCAAGACTTTGACGGATTTTGTCAACGATAAGGGAGGACTCGTAAAATTATCTAGAAATCAAGACGTCATGGCAGCCGTACCAATCCGAGACATATATCTAAGAGCGGGATTTGTAATGTTAGAGAAACTCGAACGGACCTGAAAAGCGTGAAAGGGCGGACTAGTACTACAATAATACCATATTTTAATCGAGAAGTAAAAGTAAGCGAATCTAAAATTAATCAAATAGATAATACCATGACAACCCAAAACCACCAAAGCGGACCAACACCATAATAACCCAAAACCGACCAAGCAAACAACACCGTGACAACCCAAAACCGCCCAAGCAAACAACACCGTGACAACGAACATCCGACCAAACAAACAACACCATGACAACCCAAAACAAACAGACAACACCATGACGGCCCAAAACCGACCAAACAGACAACACCATGACAACCCATCACCCATACAGACTAAGCGGACAACACCATGACAACCCAAAATCGCCCAAGCCGACAACACCGTGACAACCCAGGCGGACCAAGCGGACAACACTATGACAACCCAAAACCGACCAAACAGACAACACCATGACAACCCAAAACGACCAAGCGGACAACACGATGACAACCCAAAACTGACCAAACAAACAACGCCATGACAACCCAAAACCACCCAAGCGGACCAAGCGGACAACACTGTAACAACCCAAAACCGACCAAGCGGACAATACCGTGACAACCCAAAACCACCCAAGCGGACCAAGCGGACAACACTATGACAGCCCAAAACCGACCAAGCGGACAACACCATGACAACCCAAAATCGCCCAAGCGGACCAAGCGGACAACACCGTGACAACCCAAAACCGACCAAGCAGACAACACCATGAGAGCCCAAAACCGCCCAAGCGGACAACACCATGACAGCCCAAAACCGACCAAGCAGATAATTTCGTGACAACCCAAAACCACCCAAGCGGACAACACTATGACACCCCAAAATCGACGAAGCGGACAACACTGTGACAACCCAAAACCACCCAAGCGGACCAAGCGGACAACACTATGACAGCCCAACACCAACCAAGCGGACAACACCGTGACAGCCCAAAACCACCCAAGCGGATCAGGCGAACAAATTGTGCTAGCCCAAAACCGACCAAGCAGACAATACCGTGACAGCCCGAAACCGCCTAAGCGGACCAAGCGGACAACACCGTGACAACCAAAAAACGACCAAGCGGACAGCACCGTGACAACCCAAAACCGACCAAGCGGACAACACCGTGACAGCCCAAAACCGACCAAGCGGACAACACCGTGACAGCCCAAAACCGCCCAAGCGGACAACACCGTGACAGCCGAAAACCGACCAAGCGGACAGCAACGTGACAGCCCAAAACCACCCAAGCGGACCAAGCGGACAACACCGTGACAGCCCAAAACCGACCAAGCGGACAGCACTGTGACAGCCCAAAACCGCCCAAGCGGACAACACTGTGACAGCCCAAAACCGCCCAAGCGGACAACACCGCGACAGCCCAAAACCGCCAAAGCGGACAACACCGTGACAGCCCAAAACCGACCAAGCGGACAACACCGTGACAGCCCAAAACCGCCCAAGCGGACAACACCATGTGACAGCCGAGAACCGACCAAGCGGACAGCACCGTGACAGCCCAAAACCGCCCAAGCGGACAACACCGTGACAGCCCAAAACCGACCAAGCGGACAACACCGTGACAGCCCAAAACCGCCCAAGCGGACAACACCGTGACAGCCAAAAACCGACCAAGCGGACAGCACCGTCCAAGCGGACCAAGCGGACAACGCCGTGACAGCCCAAAACCGACCAAGCGGACAACACCGTGACAGCCCAAAACCACCCAAGCGGACCAAGCGGACAAGCCGTGACAGCCCAAGGAAAGCCCAAACCTCAATCCGGACAATTCCTAAAATTCCGGGAATTTTCAGCTCCGGGGAATTCCCAAAATTCCCGGGATTTTTAGACAAAAAGCGTTAAAATTCCCGGAATTTTCAGGATCCCCCTGCAAGGCCCTCACAAGCAACCAAATGGACCGGAAGAGGAGGCGGGGCATCCGACAGGGCGGCCGCAGAGCGAAAATAGGGGTCGAGCCCTTAGCCTTTTATGGGGATATACCGCGAGCGCCCAATCCCCAGAAAAAAAATCCTCCCAAAACAGAAGATATAATAGACTTCTTTGCAAGATGTATCTCTCCCGATGTTAATTGGCATTTTGGGGAATAGAAGATTCTCACATCATTACTTCATCATCTTTCATTAAGAATCTCTCCCCTTGAGGAATTTCGAAGTTTCAATCCTATATACCCATAAATAATTCCCATAAAAAAATTTTCCAAAAATCAATTTATTTTCTTTTGAGAATGGGATTCCCTTACAATAAGTACCCCGATTAATTTCGAACCCCCTTCACATGTATTTGATTCGCACACAAGAACCTAGGCAATACGTACCTCATACTACATATGTCTGCCACTGAGTGATGGAATGGCCCTGAGCCCTAGACTCGCAGAAAGCCTCCTGACATGCTGGCTATGAAAATACATTCTATTGAAGTGGCCTAACCCGTAGCCTTTTATGGAGATACGATGAGGCTTTGGGAAACGCTTATTTGATCTCTCTCGGGGCTTGTGATCGCCCCGTTCGATCCTATTGTTCTTGGTTTTCGGCCTGACAAACAATCATTTTCGTGATCCATTGTGTTGAGCCCTTTTCCTGGAGCGTACGAGCAAGTTGTGTCTCTATTGAAGCCGGGCGACGTCGCTGCGGATTTCATGAATTCGTTGGCATGCGTTTGGTTCTGTACAAATGCAGCAAGCTTGCAGCAACTTCCAAAACGGTCTGCTCACCACAAGGGCCGAAAACCGAAGTACCTGGCAAGCAGACAAGTTGGGTCTTTGACGCCACGGTGAGTTGCAGCCCACTCAATCAACGTGGTTTGAGCTGCAAGAATCGCACTAGCATGATATCGGGGCACCATACCTTCACGTGGCGCACAACCTCAGCTTTGGACTTAAGGCCACTACTGGCTCGAGTATGTCGTGGTGTTACGGAACATCAAAGCATAGTCTTCTGGGCGAATCCTGATCACGTGCACAAGAGGAATGCCTTGTGTAAAGTATCTCTGGAGCTGTATCTATGCCGCTTGGAATATGTTGTTGCCCAAGGCGTAGTGGAATGCTCAAGGCACCACGCTCAATCAAATTTCTTTAATCAACCCGGTATTCATCTTGTAACCACCTTTCAGCAGTTTCCGATCCTGCCATCCAGAAGCGTTGGTTGCTTGTGCATCCCGCGGAGTAGTGCCCACCCTCACATAGAACCCCGTGGAGAATCCTAGTATCCCTGGTATCCCTTGGGTGCCTCCAGAATGCCCACAGAGAATCCCGAAGAGAATTCCAAGAGTGTTGCTGTTTTCGTAGTGACCACTACAGAATGTTGGTGATCTCACCAACATGAGGTAGGCGATAACTCGCCACCCAACCCAACTCAACCTACCATACTGAGAAGCTGACAGGATCGTGGATCACGTAGCAGAAGTTCAGGAGACTTTCCTCTGCAATACTCCGCTACCCTTGGTCAATAATGCCCACATCCGACGGAGATGGAAGACTCTTACGTGCCTTTGGGTACAGGAAGCCGCCGTCTCCAAGAGAGGAAATGGAGCCGATGGTCGAGAGCACCTCTCAAGACACGAGAAGGTATAGGGTGGCGTCTGATGGAGTAGGCCCTATGGTTTGCACAAGATCCCACAGATGCTGGTAAGGCTGCGAAAGACAGCAGAAAGTCGCTCCACCTCGACATCACCAGTGTCACTGCGGCGGACAGACAGCAAATCCTGGAGCATGGAAGAACATGAACATGAACTGGGCGTTTGCAAGCAGTCTGTCTGGGTGACCCCTTGGCTTGCTTCCACGTAGCCCCTCTTCAAACAGTGTCTAGTCTAGAGTTCGACAGGGTGTGACAGCCAACTGCCTTCCTGAACTATTTCTGGAGATGGTCTCTTGGTGTTGTCTTGGAACTTTGGGGTCTTGAAGAGGAGTGTCTTGGGGTGTTCTGGGGCGACTTGCGGCAGGTGGGCCCCAGACTTCTCCACAAACTTTTCAGCGATAGGGCCGGAGGCACACAAAGCTGTTTCAGCGGACAGCGCTGTGTGGTCAAACGATCTGCGAGGCAGGCCACCCGAACACTACGATCGTCGAAGCTTTTGTTGGGAACAGGCAAGGCCAAGAGCTGAATGCGTTGCGCTTGCCTCCAGCATGTCATGAAGGTCTGTCCCGGTGCACGACTGTCCTTGTACACAGCTTTGGTTGCCGTGAAGTAGTCCTCGCACGTGAAACGGGAAGCTTGGAGCTACACGCCGAACATGATCCTGGCTCTAGCTACACTTCTCTCAGCGACGCAAATCGCAAAGGTGCTGATATTCAATGGCAAGGGAGCTGGGGGTATCGGATCCACCGCTTTCGCAGTTGTCCTCCACGTGATCTTCATACCTGACATTCATCGAAGCTGGGATGCGTTGAAGTGCGCTGTGGTGGGCTTTCACTTGCCCATCCCACATGACTCCCAAATGGAAATGGTAAGATTCAGACTGGTTGGAGGCACCGCCAAATATCAGGTGCTGAAAAATTCGAAGAAGGAACCTGGATGCAAGCAACATGGTGACAGCCCTTTCGGCGACAGCTTCAAGAACCCTTTCGGATGGCTGAAGCCAAGCTGAAGGCTCTCTTCTGTCTTGCTCAGAGAATGTGTCATAAAGCTCACTCTCATCCATCAAGATCGCCTGCGCGAGAAGCTCGGCTGGGACTGTTGCTGCTGCCGCATGACCCCGGTACATCGCATGCCAAAGCTGAGTCTGTAATCAAGCCCTCGGTCTGCTGCAACCATCTGCTCAAAAAACATATGGTGCTGCTCCACTCCCCTTCTGCAAGGTGCTGGGCCTCTCTGATGAGGTTCACCTGGTGCTTAGTGCTCGGCAATGTTCTTTCACTCAAGCAGGCTGGGGATGCTCTTGGAAGAGGTGCACGAAGCTTCAAGGAGCACATGAGGCATCCAGACTTACTCGTGGCAGAGGCGACACATAGATCAAATCAAGCACCCGGCTCTTGACATGTCTCGCCCTCGCCCGCTTGAAAAAGTCTCGGATCCCGGCAAGGGGCACACCCTCCCAGTCCTCTTCCAAACGACCACGAATATGGCCTTCCCAGCCACATGACTCCATGTTTCGGTCTTCATTGACAAGTGAGATAGAGGTCCTGCCTGAGCTGCTAATGCATCCCGCTTCCTCCAGCTTGTTGAAGAAAGACATGCTGACAACCTACAAGGTGCAAGGCTTGGATCTGGCCTCAGCATGCCAACATGCTTCAGCTCTGGCTCGGGTAGCCGCTAGAGAAAAGCAAAGACGCAAAGCCTTTGTACTCATCGGCTGCCATCTGACTGACACCTTCGGCGGACTCAGCCTGATAGCGTCAGCTGTCAAGGTGCTCGGAAGTAGCTACCGCCAGCAACGATAAGCAAGCACTAAATGTCCGACTTCTCGCTGTCAGTTCTAAGAACAGGCCGACAACGAGGATGGTGTGCCATGAAAAAATGAAGCTGAGTTCTCTGCACGCGGATGCCAGTTTGTGAATGCAGAACGGAGAGCACCTCCCTGCGACAGGATCGCAAGTGCACAAGGTGACGATCCTTTTCTACACTGATCTCGAGATCCCGAAACAGGGTCTTGCACAACTTTGGACTACTTCGTGCATGTGCCAGGACTACCTTTCAGCACTGCAACAATTCCTTGACTCAGTTTGTGTGCTTCTCAACACCCCGGATTTCAAAACAAGGGTGTAAGGTCTTGCTTTCGACTAAGATTCACGAGCGGCGAGCGGCGTATGCTGCTTCCACCACGGGCCTGTCTTTGAAGAAGGCATCCAACATGTCCTGAAACGTCTCGCTTGTGACCTCACGCGGCACCAGCGGGCTTCCATTATCTTCATTCTGTGTATTCGAGTGGATATGTGCACGACTCGCCAACGTGAGCTAGAGAAATGCATACTAAGTATAGTGGAGATTATAAGCCATTTTTGGTGTACTATCCCTTAGGAGAGCTGTACTTCAGTAGAAACAGAGTTCATTAGTAGGCAGGACAGACTCATCGATTTCTGGAAGTGGAAAGTAAGGCGTGCCGGGGTACTAACATGGGGGTGCCCTAGTAGAGTGAAGACGTCATCGTGAGTAGTACTTACCTGTGAGCCCTACTGGGTCAGCTGGCCTTCTGCTCCACTCGGAAGGTGCACATCGCCTTACACATTCACGGAAAAGGAAGTCGGAAAAGGCCTCAAGCAGAACATCCAGGACTGCCTGTGACTTGCGCCAAGCTCACAGCCATGTCAGGTCCGAAGCCCCACTTGTCAAAGAAGGGCTGTATCTCCGGCGAGCCGAAGGAGCTAAACCTGGCAAGCATTACTGATGGATTTCTTCGATGCGAGAGAATAGAATTGCACCCCCCCCCCCCGTGGCTTGAAATCCTGCCACCTCGCATCGGGAAGATGATGGAACGTGTAGCTCCTGCCTGTTGGCTCCTTGCACTGAGAACTCTGGAGCTTCGGGGTGCTTTGCAGACAATGTGCATATGTCGACGAGCAACCAGAACACTTGCCGTGATTAGTTGGGCAGGCGATACACCCTGTTTTGACAGTATCTTCGGCAATCATGCCTCGTTTGCCATTTACCTTGTCCAACATCTCACCACTATGATGCCCCTGGCAGTGTCCTCATCCAGCTCCTCTATGAGCATTGGCATGGCTGCAAGATTCTTGGGCTCGCGTGATTGAATTCAGGTGTGTAGGAGTCTGAAGGCTTTGTGGCTCCTCAAAGTCCAATCTAGAGCTTTCCTCCTTACTCGATATTCTCTGCACTACGCTTCTTTTGGATAATGTTAAAGCTGTTCATTGTGGATGCAGTCTCGGGTGTGCAAGGTGCTTTCTCGTCTCGACATGTTTGGCTACAGCGTGTCCATGGTGGCAACAAATTGTGTCACTTCTGAAACGGCAGCTGGCCACACAAAGCGCTCAGGGCTTACGATCGTAGCCCAGGTTGGCCATGCAGATGTTCATTTTGGGGCTTTGGGATTCAGCTCACAGGCCACAAGTCTTTTCATTTTGATCGAGCAGCCAATGCGTGGGGCGATCAAGATGTCGCGCCTGATCTCGGAGCCAGTGTGGGGCATGAAAACCGAGTAAAATGCTGTGGCTTTGTGGCTGCAGCTTCCAGCCATGCCGAGGAGTCTGAGCCGCCTCAGGTAAAAGTAAAAACAGCTCTGCTTTCGCTTTCTCTCTTTCTACGTTCACCCCAGCATGCCTCTATGACTCCCAAGCAACAAAGCAGCGTCCCACAACCCAACGTGGAAGAAATTGTATTTCTGTGTCTGTGTGTGTATGTGTGTAAGTTGCATGGGACACGCCACCAATCATGGCATCAGTTGCAAGCTTGGCTTAGCCAAGAAAACACCATGCAGCAGAAAGCTCGAATCAACCGGTTCAAGTCGCACTCTTAACCTCTTCCACGGGCTTTCTCGAATATATTACAGATATATATATATATATATATATTTATTTATTTATATTTAAATTTATTTTTATATTTATTTATACTTATTTATTTATTAATTTTGTTTAGATACGTTTCACTCGCGAGCTTTCGAATCACGCAGAAGGGCACACGCGGCACTCACGTGCAGCGTGCCCCGACACGAAAAAAACTGCGAGCCCGGCTGATACGCTGCGTTGATGTCTGCTGTTCGAGTCTCTAGAATATAACATTGCTTGCTGGTCTTGCAAGTGAACAGAGTCTTGGTCAATACCAACTACGGGACCTTCAACGAACATCTTGACCAAGCTACATCCCTTCTCATGAGCACATTCATGGTCGTTTGACAGCTTTGCAGATCAACCCGCTCAGGCACGTCTCCTTCGAGAGACTTAAAGCAAAGGAGGAAGCATTTAACCCACAGGTACTCATGATGACTGGTGCACTGTCGCTCTCACAGGCGTGTGCTTCCTCTGATTTTTGCAGTGTGAAACGGCGTGCTGACCCCCATTTGAGCTATGGCTCAAGCCTTGGCACAAGAAGCATAGGTTAGCATTAAAACGCCACAGCCCTGTATCGATGTACGCATCGATGTACAACCATTCCTAGCAAAGCCACCGACTGCAGCACCGAATCGCTGCATGCACATTTGCGAGTCTGCACAAATCCGACAATGATTCCTAAACCATGCACGCACGCATGCAAGGTGCTGACCATTGTTGGGCAATTTGCTTCAACCCCCCCTGCGAACTTGGGACAATGCGAGGAGCCAAGATTGACCAACATGGATTATTTCTTTGTCCGGCCTTTGGACGGACTTTTGCTGAATGAAGCGTCCCTGCTCAGAATTGCTTCTTGGCGCATGAGGATCTCCTGCCACAGAAACAGCCAATGCTGGCTGGGGCAGAACTTTTCCTCTAGGTGCAGACTTTGAAACAGCCTCTCTTACATACCTTTTCTTGGAGCAGGGGGCCTTTCGTGAGCTAATCGCAAACAGTGCAGGGACTCCTCCTGGGACTGCTCATCGAGGCAGTTGCTTCGCTGCCTTGGCGCCAATGAGATACGACAAATCAAGGCGGGCTTAAGGTCTGAAGAATATAAGAATATAAGAATATAAGAATATAAGAATATAAGAATATAAGAATATAAGAATATAAGAATATAAGAATATAAGAATATAAGAATACAAGAATATAAGGAATATAAAAGTACAATATCATAAGAGTATCAGAATGTAAGAACATATGAATATACTAATGTAGTCATATATGAAGCTCCGAGACACAGAACTGTGGGTGCGGTGTCCTTCTGAGCTTGTAGTGAAGTGCCAAGCTCTCAGGGCTTCCAATCTCTCTCAGCTGAGCGATGCGCACGTCCGGTGAATACGACGCATAGAACGCTTCCAGAACACCTGCCCATTCAACATGCCGTTCCGAACACAAGGCAAACATACTCACCTAGTTTCGACAATGACATGCCGTTCCGAACACAAGGCAAACATACTTTCGACAATGACAACGGCAAGTGCCTCCAGAGGAATCCTCCATCATCGTGGATGTTGGAAAATATTTAATGTACCACCTTGGAGCAGCATCTGATTGACCTCTTGAATCAAGACCCAACCATGCAGACAGCTTCCACTCACAAGCTCCGGAGGTTGCTGACTTTGCCGATCAGGCTTTTGGCAGAGGCGGCCGCTCATGTCTTCAACATGCGGGGAAAGCAAACTGTAGGAGGCAAAAGGCCTCTTCTCTAAAAAAAGCTGGTGACTGACCATTCCTTGAACTTCTGGCAATGCTTGGAACGGCTTGCACCTTTTTTCGGCGTGGATAATACTGACACAAGACCTACATCTGCAGTGGTCACGCGAGCGATGCACCACAAATGCAACTGCTTTTGATTCTGAGTGTCGTTCAGTGCCCTCTCGACAAACATTGTCAAGGAAATGTATCCAAATACCCCAAACCGCAATATACCGCAATTGTACTAAGGGGCGCTGGGTCTCAGGGGCTGCGAATCTATTTCGTACTGTCCTGCCAACACTCCACCCTCCCGGAAGTCCTGCAAGAGACTGGCGCTCATGAACTGCGATGTTGTATGCAACAGTGCAAAAAATGGAAATGCCTGGTTGCAGCATTCTGGAGCAGGTTTGTTGGGTTGGAGGCAACCTCATCTCAGGTACGGGCTGCGTGAATTCCCCAAAATCCACGATGCCATTTCCATCGGTATCCTTAGAGTTGCAGCCCCTTTGGAGCTTCTGCTATACTCTCGGCGCTTCGTTTATAGGGTCCTTAAAGGAGGGGGTTCAAGGGGGGTACGTAGCGAAGGCTCCCTGAGCTTCCCTAAGGTTCCTGAGGTACCGACCCCCGATTGAACTCCCCCTCCCTTAAAGACCCTGTCATTTGTCGCATAGCGGCCATCTCCTTCCAAAAACGCTGCAGGCGCTCCTCCGGCATGGAAGCATGCGACGGTTTAGGGTTTATGGTTTGGGGACCTGGGGTTGGGGTTGTAGGGTTTATGGATGGTTTTCGAGGTTGGCAGTCAAAAAACCACTGTGGGGTTGCTCTCCTCCCTAGACCCTCTATTCCCAAGGCCCAGGTCACGAACATCCCATCAAGGAAGCGGAGCTGCTGTGCACTACCCGTGAACGGTCGTCAAGAACCGCGATTCCCAAATTACCCGACTAAGACTGGCGAAGCTTGGACACCAAAGAACCAGGAAGAATTGCTCATGCATTTTTCTTTTCCACCTCTCAAACACAACAAAATTCGAGGCTGGCATGTACAACACGCCGTATTCGACACATGTGCATCTCGTGTGACAGAAGCGCTGCAAACATGAAGCCCAGTCCTTTGGGAGGTCCTCAGCTAAATCAGTGTGGCTGGACCCCGTCCCAGCGTAGTTACCGGAGTCTGTGACTCCTGAACCTGCCCCTATGATATCCTGAGCGCCATTGGAGAGCACACAACTAAAACGGCCAATTGCAATCCAGCAGCTGTTGTTTGGCTCACACCTCGAAACCCGCACAGAGGAGACCCACGAACATGGCAACATGCTTCGGGAGCTGCAAAGGCGAGACATGCTGCTGCCCTGCCTATAAGAGACTTTATCATTGCCTCAAACTCCACAAACTCAATTTCACCAGACTTGTCCTCGGCATGGGTTGCTGAGAAGGGGTGCGTTTCAAGCAGAAGCTGGTGCATGGGATCTGCGATACATGCTTTGAAGATCTTTGAGGTCTGGCGCGGAGTCGGGGTTGCTGTCAAGGCTCTAAATCGAACTTCTGGAAATGCCTGGGCTTGTGCGCGTTGGTCCGTCGCTGTCTCACTACGTCTATTCAGCAGTCGGTTCTGCCTGTCAGATCCAGCATCCGTTGAAGCCAAGGCACATATATATCCTGTCCACTTCCGAGACCTTCCGATTCCCAACACATTCTCCGACGTCAACCATATCAAACGTGCTCATGTTTGTCCTACCGGCAGGGTCCCCATTACCGCTGCCGACATCAAAGGTACTAGGCCCAAAGCCTACAGCTTCCAAAAAAGCCCAACAACCCCCCCAAAAAAAACACAAAAATATCCGCTGTGCAGTGTGAAGATTGTCGGTCGAGGAGCCCGGAGGCCACAGCGATGCGCGACGGTTTGCACCAGCCGCGTGGACCTTGAGAAGGCTTCTAACATCCATTCGACGTCCTTCTCATCAGCTTCAACGCATCTCTATCGCAGCTCAGAACGCTCTGCCGACGGCTTCGTTCCACTCAAAGTGAGCACTGACATGAGCCCACACAAATGCGCACGATGCGCTGATAATTTCAAGAGCTGTTGCACTTGAACTGAAAATATGATACTGCTCTCACTGATCTGCTCTGATCATTTGTTTGTGCGATTCTGCTTTGCGCCGATGATGCTCACGTTTGACGGACTGATACCTTCTAGTGGTCGATTGAATGCTCGTGCGTTGGAGTTGCCGAATTCCGTTTCGACATTTCTGGTGTAAAGTTGATGAGGGTCTGCATCCCGACCCTATCCCGACAAGCCGTTCTACTGGCACATGAATCCAACAGGGCAAGTAAGTCTTGCACGTGGTGTGATCCGAGTCGGCCGTCAAGCCCGCCACCACGGAGAACATGTGTGCCTCCCAACGCAAACCACTCACCATTGCAGGCGCTGGCATAAAGACTTCAAGGACTCAGTAAGCACAGGTAGCGCTGGAGCTGAAGCTACAGTTGCACGCACCTTGCACCAGTTCAGGAACCTCGGTTGTGTCCAATTGTCTCCATATATCTTGGCAGGTACAGCTCCGAGGCTGCACTACGCGATGCCCACGGTTCCACCAAAACCACTTGTTTGCAGCTCCGTTGCTCATCTACATTTATGTAACCCTGCGATGCACAGGTCTCATAAGCACCTGGGCATCATGCATCAACAATGGCGCTCGAGCACCAAGGCAATCCGAGGCATCGTCAATGACTTCCCAAAACGCGCTTCAAGGTTCACTGCGCACATGCTGTCTGAAGCACTCTGGAGCAAGTCATCATTGACGTGCTCAACGTACAGAGCCCGCTGCATGAAATTCCTCACAGGGCACCAGATGCTAAGCCAGATGCAACTGCAAGGAAAAAAGAGAGTCAGTCATCCGACCTCTACAGGAAGCCCCTGTCCTGAACCTATCGATCGCCACACCATTTTTGTCGCCGTGGGCGTGTTGCAACGCTTCCAGAACACACATGACCTCTGAGAAACTCATTTGGTGCCTGAGGAGCGCAGGCAAGTGATGTGCAGTTGGTGAGTCTAAGGGAACAACGTGAAGCGAAACCATACGTGCTGAGGCTTGCTCCTCTTGCAGAGCGACATAGCCTTTGCCGACGCAACAAGATGCAACAAGCTTTGTCGGTTCCATGAACTGCGGCAATGGCCGGGACTCTCCCAAAATCTGAGATGCATGCCTGTATTCTCAAGTCTTGCACTGGCGGCTTTTGCCTCGGTCGGTGGTGAGAGACACTTCCTTAGATGAGCAGGGCAAGACGGGGAAGCAGCGTAACCAGGAGGCACTCACAGCTGCAGCTCAGGAGCTTCCCTTGTTGACAACACCTCTGCCACCTGCTCAAACGCCGGTGCCGAAGAATAGCCGCAGGAAACAAGATGTTACCTCCCTTCTCTCGATGGGCCCGAGGTAAGAATGAGCACATACCAATTCTCTCTTACTCTTGCCTGATGGACTGAGCATGGGAAGGTAGTTCGCCTTGGAAACCTGCACAGCGGAAGAGCAATGCCGGGCACTGGCTGAAGCAGCTCATTGGCTGGACTGGTGGGCTAGGGTTTGGGGATGTTGGTTGATTAGGGATTAGGGAGTCTTTCGGGTGCAGGGTTGGAGCTTCAGGTTAAGGGGTTCAGATGGGGGTGTAGCGGAGAGGCGTCTGCAACAAGCAGACCAGGATCCCCCTTCCCAACCCGCACCCGCAAATTTGCAAACGCACCCCCCACCCTCCCTGCCGCAATCGGATGCCGCAGGCTGTGGGCCTTGTCCCACAGAAGCCTGACAAGCTTCCGGAACCCCCTTGCCACCCCCTCAAGCCCCCAAAATACCTTTTGCCCTTGGCTCCCCCGCGAAACGTTCCCATAGCCTGTACCTGCGCTGCTGTCTGCTCTCCGGCTGCTCCCCGCATTGTCCGGCCCGGCTGCCGAAGCAGCGCGCCGCAGCAGCAGCAGCAGCAGCAGCAGGGAGGAGGAGGAGGAGGAGGAGGACGAGGAGGAGTCGTAGTAGTCGTCGTAGTCGTCGTCGTAGTCGTGGTCGCAATCGTAGTCGTAGTCGTAGTCGTCGTCGTAGTAGTCGTGGTAGTAGTCGTGGTAGTAGTCGTGGTAGTAGTCGTGGTAGTAGTCGTGGTAGTAGTCGTGGTAGTAGTCGTGGTAGTAGTCGTGGTAGTAGTCGTGGTCGTAGTCGTGGTCGTAGTCGTGGTCGTAGTCGTAGTCGTGGTCGTAGTCGTAGTCGTGGTCGTGGTCGTGGTCGTGGTCGTGGTCGTGGTCGTGGTCGTGGTCGTGGTCGTGGTCGTGGTCGTGGTCGTGGTCGTCGTCGTCGTCGTCGTCGTCGTCGTCGTCGTCGTCGTAGTAGTAGTAGTAGTAGTAGTAGTAGTAGTAGTAGTAGTAGTAGTAGTAGTAGTAGGTCGTCGTGGTCGTCGTCGTCGTTGTAGTAGTAGTAATAGTAGTAATAGTAGTACTAGTAGCCCGGAACCCCTCCTGACTGGTTTTAGGGCTTATTTAGGGTGTTAGGGTTTAGGGTTTAGGGCTACCCTCGATGGACCTTCTCGTCAACCCTCAGCTCAGGGCCTGTGTGCCTCTTACCCACGACTCTGCACCAGGCTGCAGCTTCCTCTTTCCGAACCCGCCCAGCCCCGCAACACCAAGACCCCTCTGCCGTCAAGCTGGGCCGAGGCTGTCGACACGCACCGTTTACAATTAACAGAAATGCTTGAGAAACAACAGTTCATACGCAACTTGTTCAGTGACTTATCCCTGTGCCGAATCACATCCTCACTGCAGTAGCACCCTTCAAGGTGCCTGGTCGTCCTTCCTTAGGGACGGCGAGGATTTAGAGCCGACGCTTGTCCTTGAAGGTAGCGGCGGCATGGCGAACGCCCTGGGATTGAGAGCGTTGGGCCGTTAGGTTCCCTGACTACAGCTGACGACAGCTGCCTACATGCCGACCAGCAGCATCCCCCTTTGAGACTGTCTGACACTAGGTGGGAAGCTAAGGTCAGAGACACTTCACGAAGGTGGATGAGTAGAAATTTGCAATCGTGCCAAGCATCAAAGGGCCGTCAATGCTGCGCCCACACTCCTTGAAAACTAACTTCAAGCAAGTCGCTCTGTGGGGTCGCTGCTGACTCGAGGCAGCCGCCTGGATTCTTGCATGTTAGTACATACGAACGAAGTACATATGTGTATATACATGTATATATATATATATATGTATACACTGCGGTGTTGTTGTTAGGAAGTTGTCCAGGAAGCCTTAGACATTGCAAGAAAAGTGCGATAATCCAAGATATTCTTCGACGTTCTTAGGTCTTCTTGGAGATACTTGGATATATTCTGCTTTGTATATATACACACGTATATCCTTATACATTATAACATGCTCCATGTTGCGTTATCGTCTCTTGCTCTTTGGGATACCAAAGAAGGCCCATGCTTTAGTCACCCATGCATTTGAAGCAAGTTCCTGCCTCTTCCGTCGCAGCACGACAGCATCATCAGGCGACAACATCATGGACATGGCCGACGGATCTGGGTCGATGTGCAGCAAGTCACTGCTGGAAAGGGCTGGGTTCGGTGTGGCTGTTGGCACGGGCATGGCCCGGCATGCTTCCTGCTTGTTGAGGCATCGTCAGAACTGAGCTTGAAGCTAAGGCAGGGCCCCTGCGAAACTGGTAATATCTGCTTGTTGGATACGGACTTTACATAACCATTGCCATGAGAAGAAACTAACAAACGAAGTATGCTGCAGCCAGATACAAGACCGAAGAACAGCATCATGACAGACTCGTGGGATGAAGGGTTTAGCTCCTGTCGCTCCTCAAGTGATCAAGTGCCCATGACAATGCTCACTCCGTGCGTTTGAAACTCGATGTCTGTTGACCAAACCACGGCGGTCTCACAAGCTGCATACTTCTTGTGTCTTCTTGCGGCGGCTATGAGAGTCTTCTCAACAATCAGACCCTCCGCCGGCTTTGCAACACAAGCCAAAGCCAACAGGTGCAACTGGGCAGTGAGACGTGCACCCAGCTGGCGTTCTGTTCATAGGCTTGGATTCGCCCGCCTTCAGCTCGTGAACACCTGCAATTTTGCTCCGAAGACCACAGCTCGGTTGACGCAGCTACCATACCGTATCTTGCGCATGCGACAAGGTGCCTTTGGGTCCCCAAAGCTGCGCTGAAAAGCGACTCTTCTTGCCCACTAGCCTCGCAAACACCAGAAGGTTTCAGCACCCACACAGACGACGACACTGATAAGATTCGGTGCAGCTGGTGCGCGAAATCATTTGTCGCGAAATCATTTGTCGCGAAGCGCAGAACCATGTCCTGTAATAGGCTTAAGGCCAAACATGACCCGCGGTGCATTCGGATTCTTGAGGCCACACTCTTTTTTCAACTAAAGAAGCCTCCAATGGGCATCACAGCTTCAAACGTCAGAGAGAGCGAGAGAGTCAGATATCAGAAACAGAGCAACAGCTCAGCGACCCTGCAGGAATTTCCGGTTCTGGCGGTACCTTATAGTATGTTTCTTCATGAGTACACGAACTAAGTAGGAACTTGGTAAGTTCATGAGTTGCAACAAAAGTATCGTGTGTATCTGTACTGCTTGCTGACTTCCGGAACATACGTTTATGGCAGCTTGCCCAAGGTTCCAAAAAGTTCTGAACCTAAAACTGCCAGAATATGTCGCAAGAAAATGCTCGTAAGAAAACGCGGGATAACCCCCCTTGAATAAGACAAACTTGAGAGCAGGGCCAACGAAAGCTGGGGCCCCGAAGGCGGCACGGCAGGTGCTTTTCTTAGGCAGGAAAGGCTTACGTGCAGCTGCCACAGCTAAGGATTCGAACTTTGGGGGAGCTGCAAGCTGGAAACTCACACAGCCTGGCAGAAATTGTCTGTGCCTTGGGTTTGCATTTGTTTCGAAAATGCTGGCGCAGTACGTCGTCATAAAGTAAACTCCAAGTCCTTTGGGTCCGGGGGTTCAAGGTCAAGGGGGGGGACCCCCCCCCATCGAGGATTCCCCCGCCCCTAACCTTCGCCGATACTCACCCCCCTAAACAAGAAGGTTGCAAACAGAACTCCCGCAACTGCAAACAGCTAACTTTCGTGCCTATGAGCATAACAATTTTGGGTGGAAACCCGTGGGCCACCAGCTCCAGAGCCGGGTTCCACCCATCCAGCCAGACACGTTCCTCCTTTCTTCTGACGAGAGGACCCCAAACGTTGCAAGTTTGGGGAATATAATGATAAAGGAGAGCCCCTCTTCTCCTTGATGCAAAAAGCACATCCTAGGTCTCAAGAAAAGGCAAGCACCCTTTACAACAAAACGTATTTTGGGCTTGTGGGAATTTATAAGGTTTGGGAGGCGGGGCACGGCGAAAAGCGTGCAGCGGCGCTGAAGTGTGCACGGGTGTGGGTTGGTTGGTCCGCTTCCATCGCACTGGGATCCACGTATCACCAAATAGTACAATGACTTCGCTTAAGTTCCTTAACGGCAGCAACCACGAGTCGCATGTCCTGCCCCAGGTGGACAGCAGCCTGTCGCAGCCAACTTCCGCCTGCCATGGGTTTGGAATTCAGGCTTCATGCTGCTCAGTGAAGAAATGGACTTGGTGTTTTGGCGTTTTGGATTGTGTGGGCAGCGTTGTGGGCATGGTTTTCGTTCCCGTGTCCAAGACGGGACGCATCCAAGACCGCAGCACTCGCCCGATCGAGATCATGTCAGTCCCTCCCTAAACCCTAAATCCAGGCCTCTCCAGACTGCACCTCGTCCTTCACATTCACGTGCCGCAAGCACCCAGCTGCGTTCCTCCGAACGCAAAAATCAGGTAAGCAATGCCCGACTGGCTCCAACCTCAATAACAAGAAGCCTGGCTACATCCCCGCACGGTGAGGTGAAGATCTGGTATGACCACCCCACATAAATCTAGCCCGAACGCCCTAGACTAAACCCCCCCTCCAGGCCTTCGCGTCGAGGCCAAAAGTGCCGTCCGGCGCGTGGAGATGCGACGCGCCTCCCAACTCTCCAGCCGTGCCAGCAGGTCCTTCTTCGGGTTTTGGGTTTGGGGGTTTGCTGAGGATCTGGGTAGAGGGTTTGGCATTCGGTCTTAGGGACTGCAGGGTTCTTGGGTTCGAAGATGGAGGCTACCAAGAAGTGTCGCGCAGGATCGTGCAGTTGGGGCCCAGGTAGCGAAAAACACAGGCGCTCTGGCGAAGTACAGCCACCTACAGCATCCCGTAGCTACTTTCTGGGATCACGACATAAATTGAGGCCGAACGACGTAGCATGCCATGACTTGTTGCGCAGCGGCGCCGGCTGACACCCGAAGTCTCCCGACTTTTCAAGAAATCACAGCCTTGTGGCTTTAAAATGGCTCTGACGGTTGTCGTTTAACCTTGAAACTCCCATGCATTCCCACACCATGTCGTTCCACCATGTTCGGTCCTGCTGGTCCCAGCCGGCCTCTGACCAAATGCGAAGATACTCCTGACGAAGTTTTACCCAAGCAGCCTCCATCTTCATCGGGCTGCTGTACATGTAGAGAGAATATCGGTTCATTCTGCCGCGATATACTTGATCGCGAGCTCGAGAGAGTGCTTGGAATGCCTCCAGGCCTGCAGCCATCCGCTGAACAGGGAAGCGGGGGGTGTGCAGTTCCTTGCCGATCCAGTACTTTGCCGGCACTGCCGACGCAAAACTCAGCCCGATCTCTTCCAGGTTCTGCCCAGCAGTAGCAGAAACATCCTGCATGGCTCGCGCGAAGACCTGTGTCATCTGCTCCACTGGCAAACGGCCCTTCGTCTTGGCACAAACCTGCTGCTTGATGGCTTGCAGAAGCTGTCTGTGACGAGTAGCAACTCGAAGGTCACGCACGGATTTGGTCCAAAGTCGGAAGGGGCCAGCAGAGGCGTGCGCAACATACACAACCACGGTGTTGCCCGATGCAGTCCGCCGGCGACGCTTTGTGATTCCTGCCCCGAGAATCTGAGTCTACTGATGTCAGTTCGAAAGATCAGCCATGTTGACAGTCTGCACAGCTGATATGCTAATCTGATGTGTCATGCGTCTGCACTTCAGCACAGCATACTTCAGTCATGGCGAGCTTGGCTCAACATGGCTCAACATTCCCGCTCCTGCATCTCGGAAACTTGGAAGTTTCCGTACTTTGGAGCATGGCTTCGACAGGCGTCCTTTCTCAGGTGCACTGGGGTGAGGCCAAGCCAGCTTTCACACACAGGCATGCAACTTCAAAGGAAGCTTGCAGTCAGGCGACGTCGATAAGCTTTCCGAGTCTCGCGGCTGCCCTGCAAGCAATTCTGCTGTCACGCGTACTTCCTTCCCTTCTCCTAGCACTCCCAAGCGGGTAAGATGGCCTTGTTGTTTGCCAGAATCCATTTCTCCAACGATTCACGCTGGGCCTGGACCCAAGCAACAGCTTGAGGTGTCAGAGGCTGGCTTCTCTGGAGGCTAGTTCCTTTCTGAGTTCCCCGTTTTTTGAGAGTTGCGAGTTTTTGTTGGCCTAACTCGGAACAACCGCTGCCACATGGGTGTGGCAAAAGCCTACAGAGCCGGGATGCCAAACAAGACAGAGCCATGGGCTTTTGAGGTTTTGAAGCTCAGGATTTAAAGCTTCAAGCTGAGAGCGCAAGGGTTCAAGCACAGGCACAAGGGCCCCGCAGTCTCGTAAACGTCTGAAGAGAAACGCTGACCTTGTAGTTAGACTCTGAGACTTTGAGGCACCCCCCGCCTGGCTGAAATGCCGTAGTATCAGCTCCTGCCATGATACGAATTACCACAGTTTCAGGTTCAAAGATTTTGAAAGCCAACACCCAGATGTGCCAAGTTTCAAGAGAGTCAGAGATCACATGCTTGTAGGATGGGCTCGGAATTTCAAGGCCCACAAGGGCCAACTTTGGGCTTATAACCCCATCGCGAAAGAACTGCTCCAAACCTTGATAAAGAAGAAAGACAGGAATACTGGAGGCCCATGACCACGCCATTCTTCGGTTTGCCTGGTTTTAAAATGATGGGGCGTGTGCCTGAAGGATCGCTGAGGGCGACCCGCACGACCTTAACGGGAGGATTCTTGTTACAACGTCTCATCCTACATCCATCAAGCCCCCCAACCCCTAAACCCAAGTCTTCAACCCTGCATCCGCAAACCGAGTCCTTACGCTGCTCCGGCGACGCCAGGCGCAAGCGCCGATAGAGCTCGGCCTCGACGCAACGAGACCTCCAAGGCCCAAGCACCCAAGCGTGAACATTTTGGTCAGGAGGATTTCGGCGGCTGTTCCGAAGCTTTGGGAGGCCTGAGGGCATGCTGCTAGACTGCTCGACTTATGTGCCATACATATCCCACATACAGGGAAACAGATTCGCACGCTGAAGAGACCGATCGCGCGCTGGAAGAACCATGCAAAACGGGACTCGGCTCATGCGCGTGCAGGCAGCTTCGCGCACAGGGGATTTGCAAACTAGGATTCGCGCACAGAAGCGACGGAATCGTGCAGGCAGATTTGCAATTCACGACCCTAAACCCTAAATCCAAATTGAACCTTAAAGGAGATACAGCAGGGCATGGCAAATCTTGCAAGCACTGGCGGAGGGGCAAGATTCGTGCTCGAATCAGTGCTCGAACCGCCCCCTTGCGCTTCAATCTCCCGTGCTGTGCTTGATTGGCGAATTGGCCTTCTACGTTCCACACCGTCCCGCATCTGCCCAGGGGCCTCTCTGCCTCCCCTTTGCATCATAGGCTGCCGGAGGCTGCAAGGGGCAGCTTGGAGCTTTAGAAACTCTAGGGGCTTCGGGATTTGCGAGACTGAAATTCCACGTGTCTCGGAGGCGCGTCCCACTGCCTGGTCGATACCTGGCTGTTGCGCGGCCTATGGACCTCGCGGTGCAAGTCATGATAAGTGCGAACACGTAGACTTTGCCGCAAAGGGTCCAGCCTGGGTGATGTGCATGGAAAGGCTTAGCTGCGAGTCTCCAGTGAAGCCGCACCTTAACATCTCTAAGCCCGTGGGACAGGACACTGCCATCCCCGAACAGCCGGTCTTCAGCGGCAGAAGGCCCTAGCTGGCCACATCGAAAGCCTTGCCGCTTGACCCCACGACCTGCGGACGGGGTTCTCATGCAAGATGTAGGGTGTTGGTTGACAAACAGCGATGAATGTAAGTACTTCTGTCACCAAGGCATCCACTTGAAGGTCGTTGCCGGGCACTCGCCTGTGCCAAAGCAGTCAGGCAAAGGCCTGCCGCCAAGCTGTGCACTATGTCGGATCCGCCTCTTGAGTGAGCAGGCTCATGGCTTCGCGTCCGCATGTTCTTTCAGTGCCTCCGAGAAGCGGGACGGAAGGGAAGGGCGCGAGTGCAGGATGACAAGGGGTTCGATCGGCAGCATGGCTGCTTGCCGTCATACAAGGACAGGATTCAGGAAGGGACAAGTGAACCAAACTCCACTTGCCTTGTAGAGAACACACACAGACGCTAAACGCCGGCAAGATTCTCGTGAGAAAACTGGCAATGTTATGTAGTGAGCCTGTGCAAAGCTTGGGGGTACATGTACAACACGGAGCATGAAATCTTGAAGACTGCCTGTTCCGTCACGTTCGGTTCACATCCTCATGCGGAACAAGCCTCGAAGATCTGCAGACATCGTTGAGCTCGATCTTCAGCATACGATGCTGGATGCACATCATACTACTACCTCAGTATGATGAAGACCAACTATAAAGACAAGGAGCCAATCATCGCACGCACGCACTCTCTCTCTCTCTCTCTCTCACTCTCTCACTTGCTGCATGCTTGTGTAGGGGCAGCACTACAGGATCAGGTACCACTACCTGCTCCGCAATTGGCATCCAAAAACTGAAACACATTGCGCTGCTCTGTGCTGTTTTGTTGGCCGCTCACTGAAGAAGCTCTCAAGCGTGGCAGCTCCACGCTTCGAGGCACCTTAATCTCCCAGTGGTGGCGGACCTGAGGACAAGCACAAGTCATCAGACAAGGTGTTTTTGCACACAACTGGTATTGAAGACAAACCTGACACCGATTGCTAAGTCCATTGCGTCGGCACAAGTTGGAAGGCTGGACAAGTCTTGTGCGGCAGACCTCTCGTTCAACTATGATTTTTAGTAAACTTTGATTTTTAGTTGACGGATCTCACGAAAGACAGCCTCGCTTCACATCACAAGAACACGCGCCACATGTCTAAGGTTGGAGCATCATGGCGGACCTGGGTTCTGCATGGCTCTGCATCATTCGGCTACTTCACTTGAACCGAGCTCACATGGCTCACTTGTCGGACTGCTATCCAAGCAGCATGTCGACAAATGGGGAGCCAAGTGCTGCTGGAAGCAGCCAAGAAGATCGCTGTGCTTGAGCCGCACACCGTCAAGATTCAAGACATGCCAAGGTTTGAGGACAAGGGGCCGCAGGAGACATGCAGATTCGCCGGAGATCCAAAGAACTCCAATTCACATGGCCAACAGTCCAACCAAACAAGGTTCCATGCAGGACTCCAGCTTTTAAAGCGCGCACTGGTTCGATGAAACTGATCTGCTCGTGGCATATTCTTGCAAAACTGACTACGACAAAGGGCATCTTCATAAAACGTGCTTTGGAACTTTAACCATCTCAAAGCTGAACCAGATCTAACCATGGCGCGCTTTCCTTTACATGTTTTTTCATGTCATTTAGAAGTAGCCAATCTCCGAGCACTCGTGTTTAGAGCTGAGGTATGGGTGTGAGTTGACGCTATAACCGTTGACCCTACAACCTCCACTAGGCTCCACAACACTCTGGCCTCAGAGCAGTGGAACGCCCGCTTGTGGGGTACTCGGCCTGGGAGGCTGCGACATCCTCGGCAACAAAAAAAAGGCAGCCCATGAAAGGCAACGAGCTGGACTGTGAAACTGGGGGCGCGGGCCCTATAGTTGCTTCTGCCGCTCTAGCTGCCTGCACAAGGGGACTACTCGAAGCCTCCTGCTGTGCCATGCCTGTACCTGGATTGCAGAGCGCAGCTTCTTCCAGCTCTAATTGCTCCAGCCTCCCGCAGCATGGCATTGAAGTCCCTCGAAGACTCCGTGCCTCAATGAGGCTTGTTTGCTAACGGTCGTACTCCGCTGTCCTGCGTCTTCACGCCTGCATGCGCACATGGCCCGAAGGCACCAAACGAAACACATGTCGCCTACTCTTTTGAAAATACGTGGCATGTGCAAGCAGATGCACACCAAGGATGAGCAGGACAATCAACCGCTAAATCCCTAAACCCCTAGAACCCCCAAAACCCCTAAATCCCTACAGTAAACCCCTGACCCCCTAAACCAGCCCCCAAACCCCTGAACCACTAAACCAGCCTGCCCGCAAACCCCTGAGCTCCCAAACCCCACAACCCCTAAAACCTCCTAAATCCCTGGGAGTCAAAATCGCAGCTTCCGAGTTTGCGGCTGGCTTTGGCAGGGGGCGCGGGCGACGGAGGGAGGCTGGGCCTCGGCATGACTTTTGGGAGGGAGGGAGAGAGAGAGAGAAGGGTTTAGGGTTTGAGGTTGAGGGCTTTCGCCACTATTGACCTGGGCCACAAGGAGTTGCAACAGAAAAAATCAAACCACCGCACTCCCTAAGCAATGAAGTCAGGAATCTAATCTACTCAGCCCTCGGCGGTGGTGAGGCAGAGGGGCTGGCAAAGCTCGCTGCTGGCGCTGGAGGCCCTGAGTCAAGTGGAGCAATCGAACCCGGAACATAAGTTTCATGAAGTTAGACATACATCGTGTACTTGTGGAGCTTTGGAGGGTTTTCGGGTTCTCAGAGGCCTAGCAAGCCCTACTCTACTAGCTGCAAGCGTTGTCTATGATTCCGGCTTGCCAAGGCATCACTGAACTAAGGCAAGCTCAATATACCGCATGAGGTGGACCCCACCGCGAGCAAACGAAAGAGTTTCATTGATGTTTAGCTAGGAAGCAAGGCCTCCGCCCGAATCGCCGACAGTACCGAGACCTCCAACGTCCGCGAGAATACAAGCCTAGCCTGTGCTCTGCCCAATCAACGTCTCGCTTGAGTGGGTTCAGTTTGCCACTGGGTAGCCCTGAGCAAACTGGCTTATTGTCTGGCAAGGCCACACCCGAGAGAATTGATATGCAAAGGCAACAGGGCACATGAAAACAGAGCAAAGAGTACACCTGGCCCGGAAAACTTGCAAGAGCTTCGATGGCACCTTGCCCCGGGGCTGCTTGGCTACTCATGGGCGGAAGACCTGGCACTTACAGAGCGACACTCTCCTCTCCGACGCAGGAGGCCTAATCTCAGGCTGGCACCGCATCCCCCAAGCGCAGCGCCGTGCCCCATCATCCTCACATTCTCGCGAAGCTAACTGTGTGGTCAGTAAGTACTGCAGATACTGCATAGTGAAACCTTCGAGAGCAAGCAAAGGAAGTGAGTCGATCTTTCGTTTTGGGGGGCGCAAGTTGCAAACAAACCTCAGTGTCTGAGGGGCAAACTCAGCTGAAGGACCTGGACCGCGATGCAGAGAAGGTGAAACTCATCTCTGCTGCTATCTGCTTGCACTTGGCTGCAAACCATTACCATCTCACTGCAAGTGCTCACAAAGGATCGCAGCCGGGTCCAGGGATGAAAAGCAGGCCTCTTTATCCTTCATGACTTAAGTAGAACGGATTATGCGGCCTAACCCGATCTATCAAAGTCAGTACCGACAAAAGGCATGTACATCCCAGCCAAGCCTTTCCTACATGACTGACCACCGGGCCTCCCGGAAACCCGCCCGGCGCAGGCGGACCTCACCCCAAACTTCAAGCGGAGTCCATGAACCAGAAATCCCGAAACTGTCCGAAGCTTAAGCCCATCTTGTGCACATGTCTTCGGAGACCTTTCCTCAAACTCTGCTAAGTCAACAAGATGGGCTACACATCGTTGCAAGACATATGACGCAGATCAGTCGGCGTGCTGCAAAAGCTACAATTATCTCCCATGATTGCGCCAAAAAACACCTGAACACTTTCCGTTCATAAACTCTAAACCTAAACCAGCTAAACCGAAGACACCAAATAAGCCACCAGACATCCCGAAACCCACACACGCACAAACCACACACACACACACACCCCTCAAACGCACGTGCAACAAGCATCCGCCTCCCAATCGCGGTGCGTAGGCACCCGGAGGCGGAGGCGGTGCAGGAGGCCCACAGGGCCCGCAGGGCCCGCAGGGCCCGCAGGACCCGCAGGACCCGCAGGGCCCGCACCCGCAGCCTGGCCAAGAGGCGACTCTCTCTTTCAATGGTTCTAAAGTTCCTGGCAGAAACTTTCGTCTGCAAGCTCCCACTTCTTCTAGGCCTTGGGTTCTTGCTGGTTGGTTCCTGGTTACGTGCCTCCTCCACAGGGCCCCATGGGAGGCGGCATCGAAGGAGGCCTCTAAAGCAAAAAACATGTTTCGAGTGCTCGGCACTCAGAGTCTTACTCGATAGGATGGCAACGTAGAGGGCGCGTCTGAGTCTTGTAATGTCTCGTGGTCTGAGGCTGCAGGCGGCGCCATCCCTCTCATTGGGCCCGGAGGTGGTGGCAGATGCGGAGCGGGGACACGTGGAGCTTGGTTGTGGAGAAAGGGCCTCGGAAAAACATGAAGGGGAAAGCAGTCTTAATAAATCGGAATATGCTTAGCAAGTCATGGATGCTTCTGCTCAACTGAGCCCCTGGCGACATTGGCATCGGTGGGGCGTGCGCAGCGCCGAGGATTCCGACCCCAGGGGCCTGCTCGGAACTCTCACAATCTCTCACAAAGCCTTGCAAAGTCTTTGCAGTCTTGACACAGCGTCCGCTGTAGGCAAGCTGGAGGCACACAGACTAATATCCCACCTATTCTTGCTGACTGCATGTTTTTGCAGGTCCCCTTACTCAAACCTGACCTGTGCTTCGTCCAGTTAACCCCATAACCCATCTAGTCTCTTCAGAACCTCCGAGTTCCGAAGCCCCGCTGTCAAGGATGCCAGGGATCGAATAGATTTGCGCTCGAGGCCAAGAATGCTATCCCGAGAAATATGCAAGTTGCTTCGTGGCATGTTGTATCCACCCCCAGGATAGAGAGGAGTCCATTACTCTTCATGCCGTCGTTGAGGAGACCACGCGTAAAGAGTAAAGAGTGTGCAAGGTTACGTCTAAGTCCATTCGTTCACCACCACGTCTGAAGTAGTCCTGCAGTAGCTCACCCAACCCAGGGTTGCGTGTTCTTGTTTGCACCTTAGGCCGCGAAGGGTAGGAGTTCCCAAGCATAGGCGGCTGCATACCTCACTGGCCACACAAGCATCAAGACAAGTCATAGAATCTTCGGAGTGGATCTCTGCCAGATCACAATATGAGATCCACCCACAAAACTCAGCGCAGCAAGCTCCAGTGCCAAGGCCGCAACCAGCGCCAGCGTAGCCTCTCCAGTAAACACATTAAGCGCTCCCTCCCCCAGCGCACCCGTGTGCACCCCGGTGCACCCCCCAAGCCCAAGCCAACAAGTCCACCATTAGACCGGAGTTGCCATGTCTGCCATGCTTGCTTCAACGATCTTCAACGTGAGCTTCACTTGACGGACCTGGCATCGACGTGCAGCCGCCTTTCGCAGGAATGCTTAGAGTCCAAGGCAAAATGTGCTTTGAACTTGTTGCGATCAACAGGTCTTCTTCACATCTGCACATCACCACGGATTGCTGGCTGCTCACATGCTTTGTGTCATCTCGCTCTACGACTCGAGAAGCGAACGTGCTCCTTGCCTGGTCCCCTGTATTGGAACTTCAGCTCCTCGATTCTCTCCTGCCACATGAAACCCCCCACCCATGCCGCTCTTGCACTAAAGCCCCGAAGGTCCCAAGTAGGCAAACGCGCTGGCAGAACAAGGATGAGCTGTTTGGCAAGAAGGTGGTTGTCGCCAACAACCTGTGCAGGTTGCACAAGGGGGTCCCCCAGGGCGTACCTTGACTTGAAACCCAGAAAGTTTGCATTCTTACAGAATCTTACTCAAACCTTCACAGCCCTGCGACTCTCTTGGGCAGGCCCTAACCTCCCTAACAGTCCGGGCGCACCCTGACCAGCTGATCTGCGCCGGTGTGCGACGGAGGCAGAATGGAGATGAACCTAGACACACACACACACACACACACACACACACACACACACACACACACACACACACACACACACACACACACACACACACACACACACACACACACACCGCCCCGTCTCGCGCGAAAGCCCAGCTGTGTCATATTGCTCATCAAAAAACAGGTGTTAAATGTAAAGAATTCGCCGGCGTTCAACATGTCCAAAGCAGTGTCACCTCTGCAATCTACACACACACACATGCTCGCTGCTTCTTCGTCCACGCGCAAGCTTTCCTTGGGAAAGTTCCGTTCGAACCGCAGTTCACAGGTCTCTCAGCACGGGTGGCGTGAGGAAGCCGTCTGCGTTTGCCGTTCCCTAGTCGTGAATCTAAGGTGAGCAGTCATGAGCATGTCAAGCCACTGGAGCTCCCTTCTCGGTGAGTCTCGGGCTGCTAGTAGGGCGCTTACCGCTCCAGAAGTCGGTGCACGCACATTGGAAAAGCATCTGAGATGGGAGTCTCATGGGAGTAGATCTAGCCAAGATCCAAATCATGTCTTGATCTCGTCTCCAGTCTGTGTCTCACAGAGATTGAAACCAAAAAGCGAGCAGCAGGCCGCCGTGGTCTTCTTGACCTCTTGCGCAGCTTCGCCGACGTTCTGGGCACGGTCCTGCAAGCCCTCAAGGGTACTCCCACCCTGTTCAAAACGTAGGTCCGGGAAGGGAATCTCAAGGTCCGGATGGCTTGCCGCCTCCTCCAGGCCTTGTGGGGATCGGTTCGACCCTGCCTTGGTATAGATGGCATGGCAGTTCGCACAAAGCCACATGGCGGTCTGACTGTCATACCTGAAGTTCTCAAAAAAGTTTGCACCCCGCAGCTGGTTCAGGAGCTTGTCCTGCTCTTGCGATGTCAGGAAGGGCTCCGAGATGAATGTCAGAAAGTCCTCACCGTCATCTTTATTGTAAAGGCTGAAGAGGCCCTTCACCTGGTCGACGACCCCGGGAACATCGGCAATGGCATCCTCACATGCTTGGCCATGCTACACCTAACGGTAGCCAGCTAGCAAAACGCACTTGCCACAGGGTTTTTTGTTCAATTACCAAGGCGACCGAAGCGTCAGCACTCAGAATGGACTTTCCAAGCTTTGCTGCAGAAAGGCCCATCTTCAGCCAGCGGGACCATTCCATCGTTTCTGTTGTGAACGTGGTCTGGTTCGGCAGCACACAAAAACGTGTTGCTGTGGGAGCTTGACACTCGAAGTGTAGAAGAATCGCCTTCTTCACCACGTACCTTCAGACCAACATCCAGACATGACGTCTATCGCAAGCATGTGTAATGCGTTCCCGGCCCAAATCTGTTACCAAACATCTGGGGCCATGAGAAACCACGCCCCGAAGTGTTGGCAGTGTTCTCATGGTGAAGAAACTCATGTTAACAAGATCCGCAAGAGCGCCTCGGCTCAGACGAGAACCTCACCGGCATGGGAAGCTTCTTTGCGACGGTGCTGATGAAATCCTTACAGACAGGCAGAACTCGATTCACAACGAGCCGTTTGAAGGACCCTGAAGACCTGGCCTTCAGCTCTGAAACGTTGTCATCGACGTACTTCTTGAGGCTCTCCATGTCTCCGCAGGCCTCGAGCTACAGCCGCTGAATCTTCCATCGCGGCCCCTTGCTGTGGGAAACCGATGCAGTGTAGCAACCACCTCTTAGACCACGACAGCTGTGGCCGACCCCCTGCCAACGCAGCAAGATGAAATGCTCCGAGCAGCCTCCTTGAATCGGGAGTTCATGTCTGCAATCTGCGCGTAAGCTCCTTCCAGTGAGCGGCCCTCATAGGCGTCGATCAAGCCTCACACTGCACAAGCTTATGTTAACGAGAACCTGCACGCTTCTCTTTCCCGGTCGCAAACCAAATTCGGGATTGGATGGGATTGAGGAGTACTTCTTCCCTGCAACGTTCAAGGAGCTTATTGCCATGTCTCGTGCTGACCCATCACCTTCTTTCAAGTCCTCAAGCGGCAAAATCGGCAAACTTGCAGGGATCAGACGCTTGCTTACAGACACATACGACATACAAAGTTCCGCGAGGCCCTATTTAAACCTCCCTTCAGACTCCAAAGGCTAGTCTCCTGCACCCATCGGAGCACGGCGCTCGGCAACCGGGCCTTGTCCTTCTGAGGATCCAAAGACATGGGGAGGTCTCAGGTTCGTGCTACAGGCGGTTTAAGGTGGGATCCTTTGTGGGATATTGGACATGCAGAAGGGATCAAAGTATTTGACGTGCACAAGCATGAAAGGAAAGCACAAAGGTCCTTGATCACCAGGGCCTTCAGGCTGATGAGCGCAGAACACTTCAGGGGACCATCCATGGAGGTCCCCTTTCCGAGATCGGCCAAGTCCTTCGTCGCGCATGGGGCGCACATGGGGGTTTTGTTCACTGCACAGCTCTAAGAGTCACGAATCTTTCTGTTTGGGATGTGGCTGGCTGGGCGCCTTTTTGGGGTGTCTTCTGCTGTTCGGGGTCCCTCTCGGTCCTTCACCTTCACTGCGAGGGCCTCCAGCTCGGCCCCTTCCAGCACTCGCGGCAAGACTTCAAGTGCACTGGCCATCTGGTAGATGTTCGCCTCGTACATGGGGCCGCCCTTGGAGTCCTTCACCATCTTCGCCCAGACGTCGACCTTGGCCCAGACTTTCCGTGAGATGGCCGGCGACTTCTCAGTGGCAACGTCAAGGAAGGTTTTCGGGGTCGCAAAGCCAATGGGGGCGGACATGTATTGCTGCACCATGTCATCTGCAACAGGATCCAAAGCAGCAGGACGATTTTCCACCACGAACCTGACGGATTAGCATGCCTGGACTTGTCTGTGTCGTGGAGTTCATTGAGCTTAGGGAGCATACAGTTAAGACCACACGAGTGTCATGACTGGGGCCATAGGTTCTCATCGTTAACGCTGTGTGAAGATTGTGAATACTACCGACCCAGGCTTTCGAGGCTACTTCGCCCAGTACGCTTGGCTGAGAAACTTGAGGAAAGCAATGAGGGTCAAATGCACGGTATCCATCTCTGTCTTCTTCACTTTCTTGAGGGCGGCCACAAGGGATTGCAGACTGTCCTTGGCCAGCACGACATCCAGAAACTTAGCCTCAGTACTGGTCATCATCATCTTCAAGGTGCCATCAAGCGTTTTGGAGTCGCTGGCTGAATTTAAACCTTTGATGTAGGACTTGGCATCGGCAGCTGGGTCCGCTGATGTCCCAGCTGCCGGCTTAGGCATGCTCCCAATGAGGTTCTGGCAGGCGTCGATTGCTGACGTCAGTTGGCCTTTGAGATCCTGTTCCTTTGGCTTCGGCTTCAGCTCTGCAAGTACGTCCTTAAGCTCCAAGACCAGGGACGGAACAGCAATCGCTGCGGAAGCCTTTGGGAAGCCCGTGTTCATCATCAGCATGGAGCAGAAGATGTACGCGGCTTGGAACAGCGAGTTTAAGTAGGTGAGCTTCTGGGCCAAACGCTTTGAGAGATCCATGTCCCCCGGCTTATGCCCCTTTGCCAGCTCCTTCACGTGCCTTGCGAGCTCCAAGGACATCTTTAAGGCAGCAGCAGCCTCCTCGTCGGGCAGCTCAGTGAGCTGCACGAAAGCCATGCCCGTGAGCAGCTCCAGCCCGTCATGAAGTACCTGCGCCTTGTCGTGCAACAGAAGCTCTGTCAGCACCGGGTACATCTGCAGATCGCCAGTCCACTTCACAGGTTGGGCCCTCACGAAGAACATGATCTCCAGATGCTTGCTGCCTGGACAATCTAAGGACTTCTTGAGCTTCTTCAGCACCTCAGGGTCAATGTGAGCTCTCGGCTCCCGAATGTCTCAAAAGAAGCCACAAAAGAGCTCTTTTTTTTTCGCCGACGTAGACCCCGAACAGTGTAAGATCACTTCTTATCCAGGAGCGCGGCGCGCCCGGACCATGACGGAGGGACCACTCCAAGACAACCACACTCCAAGGACTCCAAAAGGTCACTCCAGGGACTCCCGAAAAGCGAATCCTTCCTCATAACGTTAAACCCCATATGGTTGCTCAATGTTTTGGGTACTATACTGAGTGTAGCTAACTCTTTGAAGTCTCATATCGGCCTCGGTCATTCCCGGATGCTCGGATCCGTCTTCCACTTTTGCATATCGGATCGCTCTTGCTGTGATGTCCAGTACTTCGTCATCTCCTCAGTGGATCCCTGCGCACTGCCGAGCAGCTACCACAAGACCTCGTTGAGACTTGTTCACCTCATGACGTGCTGCTCAGATGCTCTTGGCGATGCACGCGTCCAGCCAGGTTGACATCCTCAGCCGCACACAGAAGCACTTGAACCTACAAGGGAACAAAAGGGAACAATCCACAGAAGCCAGACACCAAGTTCGTTGACGGGCGGCATCTGAACAACCTGTTCAGGTTCGAAGTACGGTTCGTTGTCACTCGCTGCATCGACAATCTCCTCACCGCACTCCTTGATCTTCTTGTCATCCTTCCGGCTTTCGTGGCTTTCGTAGCTTGCGGCATATGCGAGCACAAACCTCCCTCACACGGAACGTCTGTGCTACTATGCACTGTACATCACCTTTGGAGGGCAACAGTCAGGGGTATAGACGTCTTAAATTCATTTACATATCCTGAGCTCCACTACCCACACACACACACACCGGCCTTCTTCTTGAGCAGGTCTATGAGCGCCAGCACCCGCTCCTCGATCTCTTCGGAGTCCGTCATAATCCCGAACGCAGGGATAGCGGGACTGTGAGCTGAGCCACAAAAATTGAGGAACGCCGTGAGCTTTGGAGTCGGGGCCAGGATCTGAAAACATGTCTTATTTTACATCGATTGGCCATCCGCAGCATGAGGTGATTTTCTGAGGAATCGAAGGCGCTCGCAGAGCTCTTGACTTTTATGATACTTTTGATACTGAGGAATCGATAAGCTTCCGATGACACCCATCAATGATGTGATGTACAACCTATGTCTTGTGAATGACGCATGAAATTCGCGAATGCGTGAACGAAGTGGTCCTTTTCCGCGGGCATAATATAATCTTTTCTTAGTGCCCGCTATAATATAACTATGAAGTGAACATTAACCGGGCAAATACTATAATACAATGAGCCCGGTTATAATTCTATGAGTTTACACGGGCCTATATTATTATTGTACTGGCCCGTATTATTATTACGTAGAGAAGACAATCATAAGGTTTTATAAGGAATGACGCATGAAAACCGTAATGATTGTATGAACGAAGTACAAGACTGGGATTATGAGGAGAGAAGATAAGGCTTTTTCATCCTCACTGTCACCGCCATGAACGTAGCGGCCACCATCAATTTCTTGTTACCTTTTGGACAGTCATCTCTCTGAACCAGTAAAACGCCCTTTGTAAACCATCCCGGGATGATAGGAAAGGTACGAAGAGAATAATTGTATTGCATTTACAAGCGAATAAAAGGAGCGCGTGAAATGCAATAAAATTAGAAGCTCAAGCAGCTGAGGTCCAGACACTTGTCCACCTGATTTTTCCCTGATCTCCTGTGCCAAAGAGCTGTCGCCGAACATGCCCCTAAGTTCCAAAATGGTTGTGACATGTTGTGACACAGCCACGAAAGCGGGCATCGCACAGCAGCACCTTGACACCAGAGCCGGAGGGACCGATAAGACCCCCCACCTGAGCACGGGTCTTCAACTTCATTCAACATGACCTTCCAGATCAATTTTCAAAGTATCTGCGTTTCCGGAAGCTCTGCGGAGCTCTGAGGGGCCAGCCAAGTCGGCTGGCACGATGACTTCGTTATCGGCGCACTCATAGCCAGGCGTCTGCCTAACTTTGAGAAGTAAAATTCTGCACGCGACAGCAACACAAATGAGATGGAAGGCATGGGATGCCTGAACGAACTCAAAGAAAGGATCCCAAAATCCATTAACATCCATGGCTCTGATTGGAAAGTGCCTTGCAAGTCACCCACCTGGTCACCGTGTGCTGAATGCATTCCAAGCTGCATTGAGCCGCCCATGGTGTTCATGGGCCCGACGCCCATGCCACCAGGGCCACCCATTCCCATGCCGGGGCTATAATCACCCAAGCCCGGTGGTGGAGGTGCTGCCTTGGTAAACTAAAGTGACTAAAGGTAAAGAACAGCTTTTACGTTGCACAGGAGACACGGAACTGAAACACCCAAGTGTCCGGCAAGCTTGGCATGTGGAACTCCTAAAGGACAACCCTTCGAAGCCAAGGTCTCTTTGATCATGCCTTCTGTCCTCGGCATACCACGTGAACTTGAACCAGCCCGCGAATCTGCCATCAGTCTGATTGGTTAAGTCTACACTCCTTGCCCTACTTTGCAGTGCGTTTGGTGATGGCTTCGGAGCAGAACCGGTCTCTGACTGGTCCGACTATGCGGATCAGCATGCTCAAGCAACAGTGGGCGGTTAACTCTACAAGGCAGCTACTACAGCCCACGTCAAACATCGTCCACTCCACTGTGTCACTTGGACCCACGATACTCTTGGCAACGGACTTTTCAACATCGCCGACGATGGTGACATTGCCTTCCGGATCCTGCACATCCAACCATGGCTCAAAACAACGCAGATTGAAGAGAACGCGGTCAACTAAGCCATGTCATCTTTCCAGAAATAGCGAGGTCCGATGGCAGGTGGTCGATCTTGATATCAGCTCCGCTTCGTAGTCTGATCTCCTCATTGTTAGATGCCAATCCTAAGGCCTGAAGGAGTACTAAAGACTACAAGGTACGTGACCCGTTTCCGCTGGGTCTGAGAGCTCGTAAACAAACACGCCAACCCACTTACCCGTTCGTAATGTCGCCATGCATCTTTGATCGTTTCACCACCTTTGCCGATCAGCGCCCGGATCTGAACACCCTCCATTCGGATGATCTTGAAGCGGGACGGGTCAATGCCTGAACATGAACTACTTTCATGCTCTGACAAACACAAGGCCGCTGAAAATCCTAGACTGAGGTCCCATGGATCACGACGTTTTCTGCACCACTGCGAAAGATTGCTTGCGGGGACGGCAACCTGGTGGCACCGGCCGGACGCTCTTCGGATCATTCTTGCTCATGTCCTTCTCACATGCAAAGACTATCAAAGGACTGGCATCTGATGGAGCTTGGGAAGTGACGTGACAAAGCGGCAATGGATCTATGGGCCTTGAGCCACTCCGGCAGTGATGCGGTGGCATTGGCATCCCCCACTTCGTCCCACCTGACAAGTGTAGACACGAACGCCGGGTAGTCTACACACAGCTACCGTAATCTAACGTGCTTTCAGATCGCTGTGTCCACCAGTGTCTTGCTAGGCGCCAAGCTTCGACCTCTTTCTCTTCTTGCTGGGGTCATCATCTTCCTCTGACCGCAAGCAGGAGACAACGCACGTCCGTGTGCAACTGCGAGTGATCAGGCCATAATCAAACCATAAGAGTACCCTCCGAGTGCCCTTTGTGAGAACAAGCTATCCAAGCTGCATGATGGGCCTCAGCTGCTGCCGCCGCGGGAATGGGAACGGAAGCTCCGCCTCCGTCACAGTTTGACAAGGGAACACGGCGTGAGCCCTTTGCAAACCAAGCATAAGCTTCTGCTGCACATGTGCTGGTGACCTAGCACATGCGCCGGAATAAGGTTTAGGCTGTAGGGCTCTAAAGAGGATTTAAGTTCAGAGGGTTGCAAAGTCAAGTGTTGCTGCTCAGCTGGCTTCCAGCGCATCTGGGGCATGCACCCAAAGGCTGGGGAGTAGAACACTGCGGACCTCAGATCTCCAATGCTCCTCCCCCTCGGTGTGCACAGTCTCACACAAGAGCTTGGTGTCGGGCACTTGTCCTTCGACCGGTAGTTGTGGAAATGGCATTTCGGACATATCCAATCACCTTTAGATGGCAAAGAAATCATGCTGCAGCTAAGCAATGTGTTTATTCTTATATACATATACATATACATATATATATACATATATATATATGCATATATATATATATATATACATATATCTTACTTGCAGTAAACAGTAAAGAACGGCAAGATCTCTTCATGATAATGCTTAATGCTAGCCGGTGGTTGCTTCATATTTGAGCAACCTGCATATCTTCAAATCTCCGAATCGGAAAAAGATCTCTTTATGAATGGACAATGATGCGGGGCAGCCAGTGCGGGCTCGACAGAGTTCACATCCCACGGGCACCATGCGTCTGAGCACAAGGCCTACTCGGAAGTTTGCTGGTATCGGAGGTGGCTCCTGCGGCAACAGCAACCAGCTACACGCTGCTCACATCTATCTCTGCTGAGATTTGAGAAATGTTTGTGGTACGCGTCCTTCGGAACGGGAGCTGCCATGGTAGGCTCTGGTTGCTTCGGCATCGACCTGCTGCCAGATCAAGCAGGGACTCCTTCCATGGCTTCACTTTGCTTTGTCCACGGAAGCCGACAACGACTGACAAACTAAAAACGGCTAGCTTCAGGGTGTAGGGTGAGGGTTTCAGGTTGGAGATGATGTACATTGCAGCGAGTCCTGGATACTGTTCCAGTTCTGCACCCAAAACGCCGGAAAAGAATAGAGGGCAAACCATCCCCAAAGCTTGATATCCCAAATCGGAACCCAGACCATAGCATACCATAGCAGACATACAAGGAACCCAAACCCCTAAACTCTACATCATATGCCCGAATAAGAGTCGGACTCGGGAGAAATCGCCGAGCGCTGTGGCTTCGCGCTCCGCGAACTGGAGTCCTCGCGTTATGGGGGCTCATCAAGTAATCATGGGGGGGTTCCCACAAAAGATGAGTGTTTTTCGGGAAGTACCCATACTGTAATGACCAGCATAATCAGTCAATCACAGCAAAGAGTATGTTGATATTTTACTATCATCAGTAGCAATAGCAAATGGTGTAACAACAATACACCAATGATAACATGAATCATAGTTACCTTTATGGTCGAAAAAGAGAACTGGAAAGGGTCTCGAATCTAGAGTAGCCTCCCAGTTCCCCTCTTCGTTTTGGCCTCCAGTTTCTGCCATGTGCCCGACTGCCCGGCTAGACTTCTTCACGACACATGGGATACAAGGATCTCCGTCCTTGTCTCTATCGCGGTCACGGCCACGGTCTTTGCCCTAGCAAATTTGGCCATTGCACAGAGGGGGTGCACAAGATCTGCTTGAAAGATGTGACCTTGTGCAGCCCTCCTTGAAAGGCTGGGGCTCGAACCCGCCGGCTGCGGCTTTTCCGCTTTGCTCGGCTGCTGCTACTCCTCAAAGCAGAAAGGTAGTGCTCCGCACGGCAAGGAAACAAGAACAGATTGAGCGCAGGAGTCACAAACCTCACAGCACAGAGCCTCAAGAAGCTTTAACCCCACTGAGCCACAACCTCCGCCTTCGACTACGACTGCGCCGCCTGTCAGAGCGGTTGATTCAAATCTCAGCAACTCGTTACCAAATGCAGATACAAAAAAGCTAGGCTTCAGGCAGCAAGGCACTAGGAAAAGCTGTGTGCCTTCGGCTTTTGCTTCGGCTTCTGCTCCGCCTTCGGCCACGGTCCTAAAGGGCAATGAGAGCCTAAGAGAGCTCGAAACATCGCAACAGACATACCGCTACAGCATTGCTGAAAAAGGAGACTGTCCTTGTCTCGTCTGTCTCGTGAACGGTCTCTGCGATCCCGGGATCGGTCCTCTGCACGTCTGCACACCATCACAAAAATGTACCGGGCACCACTCGCTGTCGCCCACCGCGGTGACCCAGGGACGCGCTTGGGTCAAACCCCGCCTTCCGGTCTCGGTCACGGCTGCCTCCGCATGCGTCTGCTCAATGTAAAGGGCTCAACACGTGTCCAAGATTGGCAGGGAAACTGATGGACTCAGGGATGGCCCAAGAAACCACTTGCAGAAGCTATGATTCCCTGCTAGAAATCGTGGCTCTGTTATCGCTCAGCTTTGCCCTGGTACCTCAATGACAAATATGACAATGGACGACACAGCATGCGCTTTGGCTTCGACAGGCTTCGCTTGGGTGTCTTGTGGCTTGTGCCTTGGCCTCATGGCTCTGTTACACAGTCGTTGGTTGAGATAAACGACTGATAAGCGCCTTGGGATGCTAGCGGGCCCCCTTCAGAAGTGGCCAGCCACTTCACCTACTCGCATAGTGCAGGGAGTAGTTCTTCAACGAGGAAACACCCAACAATCATGTGGTCACAAGTAAAGGATCAAAGCAGCGAAAACTAAACAGAAGGAAGCTGCCAGCAAGAATCTAAAACAAGAATATGCAACAGTAAGAAGGCAGGTTCTTCCCACGAGCCCTCACCGCAAAAAGTTTTTGCAGACTGAAATACCGGGGAAACAACAAAAAGCTCGCAAGGAAGCCAAAGAAGAGCCAATGACATGTGATAAGCGCTTTGCAAGTTAGGGTCTACTGAGTTCAGTGTACATGGCATGTGATGGTCTCGTTTTCCTGAGGCCAGTACGGCTACCTCTTCCTCTGTCGCGATCTCGGCCTCAGCACAATCATCCATGACGGAAGTGGAGCTTGAGTAGTAGAGCCCAAAACCAGAATCTAACAGGTGCCCCCAGATTGTCTTGTTTAGGGCTTTGGGTCCAATAAAGCCTCCTTAGGGCAAAGAAGATCCTCTGGTACCATGGGTGCACTGGCCGCATGGATGTTCTAGGCGACAGGTGTACTGGTAAGGCCGGTGGTCGTGAACCCTCCGACTGCCCATTCTTCAGAAATATAGAGAAATACAAAATAAAAACGAGAGACTTGGTGGGAAGCATACAGAGTAGCAGTAGCCTGGACCAAGAAAATGGCTGAGCAATCCTTGCCCCGTCCCCTGACTGAGCAAAGGCTTGGCAACACGCTTCGGCTTCGGTCGCGACTTCTACTGCGACTTCTCTCCTGGGAAGGTTGCCCCTGTCCGGGTTCGATTGCATAATACACTAATATACCCAACACTGGCCTTCTCCTTGTCTTTCTTTTCCTGAGCTTGAACCGGAGGTTTCCGCAGTCAGGTATTGGATATCCAGGTTATGCCATCATGAACTCATCGGCCCATTGAGCCGCAGTGCTTTTTCTTTCTCTTTCGCCTTCTCCTTCTTCTTGTCTTTGCTCTTGTCCTTCGAGCAAATTCATGTTTCGACCATACCTGCACAGAGTCGGACCAAAATGTGCGGCTGGCATCAAGACATCGCCTTCTCGCTCTCCTTCTTTGGCTCCTAAGAGCTGGAGAGGTGCGCCAGCATTGCAGCAAGGCCCCGTTTGTGGAGCGCATGCGATGCAGAGTTATGCAGAATCTTACCCGCCGTATCTAGGTACATGTACAATCCTGCAAGAAGCCTGGCTTGTTACGAACGTGGTTTGTGGAGCAGCGCGAGCAGCAGCTGGGTCTGCGGCTGGCAGCGCTTCACCCTTCTTGGCACATTCCAGGGCTTCGTCGAGCAAGTCTGCTACCTCGGCCACGGCATCCTCTGCTCAGGTGAGTTTGCCTTGGCGAGAAATTTCACAGCTCGGGGGCGGACTGCATCCCCATCGTCATCAGCCATTCGTTTCAGCGACCTCAACTTCAGAACGATTCCTACTTCAGAAAGCCAGGAAAGCTGCTTTGCGCTGCGCCAACCTACAAAGCTGCGGATCAGAAGCAAGGAATCGCCCCAAAGCAACAGAACCCGAAGTACTGAGCTTGCTGGCAGCTGCAACGAAAATCAAGCGACTCCTGCGCTCCCGAGCCAGGCAAAGACACAGCTCCATGCGAGCTTCGGTTTCACCTCACTTCCTTTAGATTCGTCGCTAAGACTTCTCGCGCAGTTTGGCATGTTTCATGCGTGTCAATGCATGTCCCTTCGAAGGCCAGCTTTACTTTGGGCATATTTGGAAAAAGTGATAAGGGGGGAGAGCTCGAAAGGTGCTCCCAGTTAACCCCCAGCCCGAGCTCCTTCGCCTGACATCTTCAGCAGCTTCGCAAGGCCGTGACATCCCCGGAGAGCCAAGATCCAGCGCTGCGGACGGCGGAATCATCCTTCAAGTTTCAAAGTCTAGGCATTGCTAGGCATACTGCCGCGCGATCCCACGCAAGCGGGAGCAAGTACTTCTTAGCTCGTTCAGGAAGTCGCAGCTTGTGGGAAGTGATGGATTTGACACGGGGACCGCGTCTGTGGCCCGGATTTAGGAAGCAGCGGCTTTTTTGAAACGTTGAAACGAGTGGCGCACGCTTTCCACCCTCAAGGCGCTTGCTGAACTAACTATCAGAAATTTGCTATGGTTGTGGTCGCGGTCGTGGTTGTATGTTTTGGCTGTGGTTGTGGTTGTGGTTGTGGTTGTCGTTGGGGTTATTGTTGCTGTTTTTTGTAGTAGTTGTTGGTGAGGACGCGTTGCACTGTAAACAACATCTATCTGAAGCGACATGTGTTCTATGGCTATGCCGCCGCCGGCTAAGCAGAAAGGCGCTGTCGCTTGGCTGGAGGTTCTGCTGCAGCCTTCGGGCGCGAGACCTCCAGCAGTGCTTCCAGTCTTCCAGCTTGAGGGATGATGAGACCTCTTGCAGCTCCAATGATGCAGTCCGCCTTGGTCGACATCATGGCGCAGAACTCCTGGAAGGGGGACTACTCGGAAAAAAAACCCTCAAGATGTGCCAAGGTCTGCCTCGAAGTCCACTGCCCCGTCGCCATCCTTCGCACAAAACTTCGCTGACGTTCAGCATTTTGGGGCAGTGGCAGCTGCAAGGCCCACCTTGTCCACCTCTGCGATCATCTTCTCAATTCTTCCTGAAGACACTGCCGCGCGTGTTCTACTACACCTGCACACTCGAACACTCTAGGTACTCTAGGTACTCTAGGTACTCTAGGTACTCTAGGTACTCTAGGTACTCTAGGTACTCTAGGTACTCTAGGTACTCTAGGTACTCTAGGTACTCTAGGTACTCTAGGTACTCTAGGTACTCTAGGTACTCTAGGTACTCTAGGTACTCTAGGTACGGGTGGGGGTTGGAAAGTTCGAAGGTGGTTTTGCTGAGGGTGTGGCTTGGGTCCTTGGTCGGTGTTCAGGGATGCTCAGGCTTGAGGTTTAGAGGTCCTAGGGGGTCGTTTAGGATGTGGTGTGGATGCTTTTTTGTGTTGTTCTTCTCATCTCCTTCCTGCTGTGAGTCCGGCGTGGGATTCCTGTTGTAAGTATGGACCCTGAGACCGTCACATACCAGCATATCAAGGACTCTCGAATCTCTGGAGGCTCTCGAGGCTCTGGGTCCCCGGCTTGTTCCGAAGAGCTCCTGCACGGAGTTGCCGTTCAGCACCTCACTTGGATGAGGCCCTGCAAAACCGCAGGAGGAGGCCTCGCACAACTGAGTCGCCCGCCTTGCCCAGCTCCTGTCATGGCAAAAGCCCGAAGGGCTGGTCAACGCAACCCGATGCTAAGCCTGCAAGCGGTCCTCTCGCGTAATCTTCCCGTCACCATCCAGATCAAATATGCGGAAAGCCGCCCAACAAACATCCTGCCGAAGCATGTCTCCAAGGACTGCAAACCGCTGCTACAAGTCGCCACTGCAAGCCGCTGACCCCCTCCTCAAACAGCAATGCACATGACTCGCTTGATGCAACGTTATTCGCAGGAGGGTCCCGCTGCATGTACACTTTTTGGTCGAGGGTCGCGGCGAGGAATTCCGTGTAGTCAAGGCTGCCGGAGCCTGAACGTCGCAACGCCGTGGCAACACGAATGCAGCGTGAAACATCTGGCAACACACCCAGATACGACACGAGAACGCCCTCTGTATTGAAACATTTTGAAACTGCAGTCTGCTTGGAACCACGCCATTGCAGTCAATCGCTTGAAGGATGTCCTGCAAGGCCAGCTCAGCTCTGCTCAGCTCTGCTGCTCATCTTCATGCTGGGGCTTATGTGGCATATGAGCGCTGTGGCGCCGGGTGCTTGCCTAGTGTCAACACGGATGCCGCCAAGATATTCAGTTCACATCCAGTCTCCTCCAACGCTTTTGGAGGATTCAATCCCTGCTGCACGATGGCTTCCTGAAGAAGACCGGCGAATCAGTGACCACACAATCAGCAAACACTTTGATCCGGCAATATTCCACGATTTTGACTGCTTACTCCATCTCATCTCCGAATCATCTCCTGCTGTCTTTGCAGTCAAGGTCCTGGGTCAAATCATTGACTGCACTCAAGATAAGCTTGGGACCCGGATCTCTTCCACGGACAACGTTCCATCGCCGTTCCTTCCAATACCGACGCTGGACTTGGAGGCAAACAGGCAGACTGCACGCTGCTCAGTTGTTGGCACAAACCTTCTGTGCCTCTGCGAAAGTTCCCCTCACTCTGAACAGCTTTACATGCCCTGCTTAATGCAGCCTGCTTGATTTTACTGCCTTGGCTTCATCGCTGCATGTTGCTCCGACCTCTTTGGTGCTCTGGGCACACGGCTTGTCCAGCGACCGAAAGGTCTTCTGGAGCAGGTCGATTTTCTCCTCAGAGCTCCAGCTTTCAGGGGTTATGGAGGGGGGGATTGGCGTCCGTTATGTCTATCCACGTGCCAACCTTGGCCTGCTCAGATTGAGCGGATGTGGTCTTTATCAGTCTTTGTACAGACAGAAAGTGATAACTGTGCAGCTCAGACACGTCAGGCAGCTGTTGTGCCAGCGCCGTCAGCGCAACCTGAAATGCATCCCTCTGAGCTCGCATGGAGTGTGGCCTAAAGCCCTTGAAGCGAACGCGGTAGCATGCCAAGCATGACCAGGCATCGACCACGATCCCGCCCATGCCTTCTTCAGCTTTGAGTAGGCGCGGAAACCTGACAGCCTGTGGGACAGCTGAACCCCTCTTCTAATTTACAAACAAAGGTTAAGCCCCAAAGCCTACAAGCGCAGGAACCCAAGCTAAACCCAAGCTAAACCCCTCCCCCAGAGAGAAAAAACACAACACACTCACAAAAACAAAAGAATAAATGCGCACAACAGTATTTGTCCATCATTTACAAGATATTTACAAGCATCACGAGCCTCGTGACGATGTCCTTGCTCAGAGGGGCCGGCTTCGGCGTGCCCTTCAGAACGGGAAGGGTTCAGGGTTCACTGAGTGGTACCTCTGGGCACCACAGCATCGCCTTGAACTTGAGCCACGGACTGAGAAGCACGACCTCTGCCAAGCGCACTCCGAGTTTGCGCAGACTGCGCATCAAGCATCAGCAACCTCACACCAGCCTACACCTGAGCTCGTCACTTCCGCGGTGGGCCGAATGGCTGGATCGAAGGTCAGCATCTGCGTAATGAGGTTCTTTGCCCCTGCACGGAGCTTGAGGTAGAACAAGTGCATAGCTGGTCTAGTTCAGACATCTCAGACTCCCCCTCCTCTTGACAGCTTAGCCTGTGTCTGACTTACAGCATCTTCGATAAAGCGCCTACAAGATAGGAAGTCGCACTTGATGGCTTTCTTTTTGACGAAGCCGGACCAAAACAAACATGCTCACTGCGACATCCCCAGTCAGCAGCAAGCCATGCATCAGCATCTTCCGCGTGTATGTCTCAGCCGGATCGGTCCTGTGTTCTGCTGAGCTCACCCCTCACACAGGTGCACATGGCCGCACCATAGGTAATGGGAGTCATGTCTAGCTCAAGCTGCTGCATCTCGCTCATTAAGGCAAAGGATCTCTCCCATCCTGAATCGCAGGCACTGATCAAAGCATTGTAGGATATCGCATCGGCCTCCGCTTCGAGCATGGCAATTCTGCGGCACAATCCCAATGCCCGCAGCCACTGCCCACCCTTCTCCAGAGCACTCAGAGCTGAGTTGAAAGTTATGGTGGTGCCGAGTCTTTGGCTAACAGCCGCATCGAGTAGTCTTGACGCTTCCTGCCAATGTCCAGCCTTTGCGCAGGCGCTGATTGTTGCGTTGATGGAGATGACGTCAACCAACAGCGCCTGCTCCTCAAACTGCCCAAACAACAGGGTTGCCAGTTGCCACTGGCCGCCCTTATCACAGGCACTAATGGCAGCATTGCAAGACACGATGGTCGGCTCCAGCCTGCAACTCACAGCCTTCTCAAGTAAGTCCAGGGAGAGCTGCCACTGGCAACCTTTCTCACAAGCGCTCATCGCAGCGTTATAGGACACGATGGTAGGTTTGAGAGATGCCTCCAAACCCTGACATAAAAGGGACAGAGCGACTTGCCATTCCTTCGCCTTCTCGCAGGCACTGATCGCAGCATTGCATGTAATCATCGTGGCCTGCATTCTACTATCCAAGCACCTTGACAGCAGCGAAACCGCCTGCTGCCATTGCTGGCCCCTCTCACAAGCACTGATCGCCGCATTGCAGGTGACCATATCCAACCGTATCCCATGGGATTCGGCATCCGCAAGAAGTTTCATCGCGAGCTGCCACTGCCCATCTCCACACATGCCAATGGCAACACTGTAAGTGAAAACGTTTGCGGATGGGCCTGGCTGCTCCGCAACTAGGCCGAGTGTTCCCAAAACTTCACAGGCCAACTTCCACTGGCTGCTGCTTTGGCAGGCACTGGCGGCCACGTTGTGCAGGACGACACTGGGCTCAAGCTCTTCGGAACGGACCTCGCCCAACAGCTGCACGGCAAACTGCCACTGTGTCTCACCTGCACATGCACTCTGCGCAGCACTCAGTGTGAAGGAATTCGGGCGGGTGAGAAATGCATCGAGAAGTTGGAGCATGTGACAGGCCAGCTGCCACTGCCGGCCCTTCGAGAAGGCTGCCGTACTGGTGCCAAGCGTGATCGGACTGGGCTGGAGGCCTTTGCCTGCAACGTCGGCAAGTAAGGAAATACCGTGATTCCAATCACTGCTTTTCGTGCATGCATCAATTGTCGTGTTGTATTGGATGACTCGGGTTTCCAGGTTCTGCCGCTGCGCTTCCTGCATCAACGCAACTGCCTTTCGCCACCTCTGCTGCTTAGCACACGCATCAATGGATGCGAAACAGGAACGAAGCGTGACTGACGAGGACAAGAGCAACTGCTGCAAAACTTGCAGCATGCTGACCCATTCGGATCTCTGGCTGCAACGTGCTGCACCAGCATCAGCCACTTTGCCAGCGACTTTGCCAGGCATTTGCACCACTTGAAAAAAACAAATTCCGGCGAAACAAACTTGAGCCATCGATTGGAGAGCTCAAGCATGTCGAAGCGTGCTGAAGCATGTTGAAGCCTTCCCATCTTCTTGAAGCTTCATTACTCAGCCCACCTTGAGAGATCGGGTCCCATTCAGGCGAGCGAAACTCGAAAGTTCCCATCTTGACCTGTGCAGCAGAACACACAAAAAGCAGGGCTCTGCTGTGCTATGCTGCGCTCTTGGCGTCTCAAGAGACGTCTCTCGACGTCTCTTGACGTCTCTTCACCGGCCTTCTTCAAGATCTCGGGATCTTTGTCGCCTAGCGCAAGGGTAACTCCTTAAACCAGTGCCGCAGCAGCACAATTCCCTAGCTAATCTACGACCCTTGCACATGCACAGCTCGTAAAGGCAGGACTACATGAACAAGATGTGTCCTAGAGCGCGGGCTTATGGCGTCTTCTACTGCTGAACCTGCAGCGGCAACTGCTCTAGTCACTCTAGTCAAGTGCACACTTTCCGCAGAGCTCAGCCTGCAAAGGGTGGAAAGCCGCAGAGCAGCACGAAGGAGATCACCTTAAAAGATGGTCCGCTTTTGCCCTCAACCCTACACTAAGCCCTACACCCTGTACTTGCTACCAGTTCCTTGCCAACTTGAGGGCACCGGAATTCCAAAAAACAGGCTAAGCTGCAAAGCCACCGAGGCTCGGGGTTCTAACATGTTCTTAAAAGCTGCGGAACAACGTCTCGGAACAACCGCCACCCGAACAAAAACAACTTCAACAATCCCTAACCAATCAACCCTAGCTAAAATACCCTAGACCATAAAGTAAACCACCAGCCCGCTTGCAACCACCCGCTACTGTACAAGGGTGCATGGCTTCAGGGCCCTTTGAACCCTAAACCCACAAAACTACACCCCACTTGAATTCTCAACCCCCAACCCTGAGCCCTAAACCTTAAACCAAAGAGCAAGCTCGAACCAAGTATTGTCCGCCCAGCAAGACCGCTCCGGATCCATGTTGACACGCAAAGCCATATGCAGGCCTAGAAACATGGACGGGTTCCCTAAGTTATGGGTACCCCCAAAACAAAGCAGGACACCAAAATAGAGAACCTGTAAAGCGAGGAAAGCATGCTACAAGACTCACTATGTGCTGACTGCAAGAAATTCTCAACCCCGGCCACAACACCCCAGAACGCTGAGCATCCTGGCACCGGCACTCCATACGTCACCTTGGTCATCTGCGAGATGTGCCATGAATTGCCATGATACACATGCTCTAAACATCTCTAGGCCGAGTCTGGACGCATCCCTACAAGGCTGTAAAGGGCTTTTTCACCTGCCAGGGCCGGATTGATGCGGCATACGGTTGCTGTGCGCCATAATACCAAGGCAAAATGAAGAGATATTGAACGGCCAACTGTCATGGTCTTGATGTTAGGTTATTGGCTTCCTCTTACGTACTCAAGAGTGAGTCAACTTTTGAGAGATGAAGCTGGTGACAATGAGGAAGTCATTTGCACAGCTCATGCCGGACGGAACTTACCTGCCATGGAAGGTTGTTGCCTTACGACCTTTCCTAACCTTACAGCCACAGCCGTGTCAAAAATGAGCTGATGATGGAAAGATCCTCGGCGTTTTGGTTTTGCAATCACATCATTATGGGTACTGTCACGGATATTCTTATCGTGCCCATCATTCAATTCGTTCACTGGCTCATGACTTTGCTTCACGCATTCACTTCGTCCATTTGTCAACGACAAGAATTCACTTCACTCTCGGAGGATTTGGGCCTCGGGGTTACTCCGTTTCTCTGAGGGCGAGCGTTCGATTTTAAAATTCTCTGAATTATGTCAACATGTGGCTCGCAGGTGCAGGATGAGTCCTCAGGATGAGTGTTGTCGGTTCCTCATTCCTTCCTAAACTGCGATATATTTGGATTTGGCAGCCGATTATGATTACAATGATTACTTTCGATTGCCCCTTCAAGCACTGGTGTTGCTGTACAAAAGACATGCCTTCGAATAGGTTTGTGTCTTGACAGGATGAGGTTTGGGGTAGGGCCTGCTGTCAGGCTTCATGATTCTAGGCCACCGCAGTGACACAGGGAGCTCAAGCAGCTGACTCTCCTTAACATGCTGTTGCACAGTCGCACGGACATGGGAGCTCTGACCACCAGAAAGGCAGCGCGGCTAAGGCAAAGACATTTTTCGTCGTACCCTCCTTTCAGGACCTCCCAGCCCCCAGCGACACCGCAGAAGAGTTTCTTCAGCTAGGGCTTTAGGGGTTTTAAGGGATGGTTTAGTTTTTGGGGCGTGTCAGGGATCGACTCTGGGCCCTAAACCCTCGACCTTACACCCTGCGCGTTTTTGGGGTTTGGGGACATTTAGGGTATTTGAGGACTTGGGGGTTTGGGGAGATTGAGGGTATTTAGGGGCTTTAGTGGGTCGAACGGGGGCCCACTAAAAGTGGCAGGCTTCTCTGAAAGGGTTGTAGAGTTTGGAGTCACAGGTACCTGCGAGTCTAGGAGGGCTTATGCCGCATCCAGTCCCCAGAGGCCTGAGTCGTGGTAAGAACACGAGGGCTCAGACGTTAGGCCTTAGGGGTTTTAGAGGTTTAGGGCTTAGGGCTTGCGGGTCTTTTAATAGGGTTTAGGGTTTAGAAGCAGCGTCGAGGGCCTGAGAAGATTCCCAAAGGTGGATCTCGGAGTGGGTCGTCTTTGCTGGGCTGGGTCTTAGCGTTCAGACGGTTTAGGGGTATGGGCTGTATCCTCACACCCTGAAGCGAAGCTCAGCTCTGCCTCCGGAGCAACGTAGTACGCTGTCCCCGCCTGTCAAACATGCGGATGCTTTAAACTTTAAACGGACAAAGAGAACTCAAATTGAAGCTCTCTCCAACCTTGAATATTTCGGAATCCTAGGTTGATTCAGAATTCCGCCGCGCCTTCGTGCTCATCTTCACTCCGGGTTCGAACTGGCAAGCCAAGCCGAAGTCGATGATCTAAGTCCGAGGGCTCATTCCGGTGGCAGGAGGCTTTGCTGATTCTTCCCGTTCCAGATCTGCCTTTTTCTTCCTGCTGAGTACCTGAATAAAGAACTGGAGCCTAAGAATTGCGACATTGCGATTGCGATTCTTCCAGCATATAGCATGGCAGTCCGACTGCGCCCTTCCCAAAAGTCCTAGAACAAGTTCTGCGGGCGAGGGTCCCTTCCGTACATCAAGGCTCATGGCCTTCCACCCTTTCACTCTAACATCTCTCATCCGAGGACCATGACACGCGGTTCTAGTGCTATACCCTAGGTACGCTCGTTCACAGCTCTTTGAGACAGCAGTGCTCAGAAACGAGCAAAGTAGGCAACAGGCCTTGAGCTGGGACTCCGGGGAAGGATCGTGAAAGAGGAAGTTCTCAGGCTTCACGTCGCGATGAGCGAACCTCACGAGATTGACATGGACTAGCATCCCAACATATCTCCTTCGGGACGGTCAAGTCAAAGATATCAGAGCATAGCTCAAGGCACGTGAGTAAATGTCACTTGGCTTGGCTGTTCCGTGTCTGATCGTTGGAAGCCGACGCCGTGGCTGATGCCACATGCCATGATGAAACAAAACACATACAAAAACAACACAAAAAATTGATGAGCCACATGTGATGCGAACAAAACAACATCTCGTAGACAAACAGCTTGTCCATCACGAACAATGCCTACTCACGCTCCTCAGTTGCAATGCATCCCAACATGCCGCTAGCGGCAATGAGCCAGACGACGCCATCACATCTAAAGAATTAACAAACCACTGCATACCCGGCTGCATAACCGTATCGAGCAGAAGAGGTGAAACACGAGAAGAGCTCGTGGCTTACCCTGCGAGGAAAGATGTGAGCGGTCGCAGTAAAACGGAGTCGACGAGAAACTTCTCGATCTAATGCAAAAACACGGCCCTTTGACAGCACGTATCCGTCATACACGCATCTGCGATGAGTAGTTGTAAGCACTCGCATCTAAGCTGCCGAGATGGTCACAAAAACCTTACACGAGCGTTGCCAGACCATGTCAAGCAAACTGAAAAGCAAGCACCTGGCTGCCAGCACGTAGCCCATCAATGCCCATCATACACGCATTTGCGATGAGTAGTGTTAAGCACCCGCAGCGAGGCTGCGTCGATGAGATGAACCTAACGATCTCATGAATAATCATGTCAGGCATCACGGCACGCCCTGGTCTCGACAACAAGAGCGCTGCCAAACCATGTCAAGCAAGCTGAAAAGCAAGCACCTGGCTGCCAGCACGTAGCCCATCAATGCCCATCATACACGCTTTTGCGATGAGTAGTTTTAAGCACCCGCAGCGAGGCTGCGTCGATGAGATGAACCTAACGATCTCATGAATAATCATGTCAGGCATCACGGCACGCCCTGGTCTCTACAGCAAGAGCGCTGCCAAACCATGTTAAGCAAGCTGAAAAGCAAGCACCTGGCTGCCACCACGTAGCCCATCAATGCCCATCATACACGCTTTTGCGATGAGTAGTTGTAAGCACCCGCAGCGAGGCTGCGTCGATGAGATGAACCTAACGATCTCATGAATAATCATGTCAGGCATCACGGCACGCCCTGGTCTCTACAACAAGAGCGCTGCCAAACCATGTCAAGCAAGCTGAAAAGCAAGCACCTGGCTGCCAGCACGTAGCCCATCAATGCCCATCATACACGCTTTTGCGATGAGTAGTTTTAAGCACCCGCAGCGAGGCTGCGTCGATGAGATGAACCTAACGATCTCATGAATAATCATGTCAGGCATCACGGCACGCCCTGGTCTCGACAACAAGAGCGCTGCCAAACCATGTCAAGCAAGCTGAAAAGCAAGCACCTGGCTGCCAGCACGTAGCCCATCAATGCCCATCATACACGCTTTTGCGATGAGTAGTTTTAAGCACCCGCAGCGAGGCTGCGTCGATGAGATGAACCTAACGATCTCATGAATAATCATGTCAGGCATCACGGCACGCCCTGGTCTCTACAACAAGAGCGCTGCCAAACCATGTCAAGCAAGCTGAAAAGCAAGCACCTGGCTGCCAGCACGTAGCCCATCAATGCCCATCATACACGCATTTGCGATGAGTAGTTTTAAGCACCCGCAGCGAGGCTGCGTCGATGAGATGAACCTAACGATCTCATGAATAATCATGTCAGGCATCACGGCACGCCCTGGTCTCGACAACAAGAGCGCTGCCAAACCATGTCAAGCAAGCTGAAAAGCAAGCACCTGGCTGCCAGCACGTAGCCCATCAATGCCCATCATACACGCATTTGCGATGAGTAGTTTTAAGCACCCGCAGCGAGGCTGCGTCGATGAGCAACGATCTCATGAATAATCATGTCAGGCATCACGGCACGCCCTGGTCTCGACAACAAGAGCGCTGCCAAACCATGTCAAGCAAGCTGAAAAGCAAGCACCTGGCTGCCAGCACGTAGCCCATCAATGCCCATCATACACGCTTTTGCGATGAGTAGTTTTAAGCACCCGCAGCGAGGCTGCGTCGATGAGATGAACCTAACGATCTCATGAATAATCATGTCAGGCATCACGGCACGCCCTGGTCTCGACAACAAGAGCGCTGCCAAACCATGTCAAGCAAGCTGAAAAGCAAGCACCTGGCTGCCAGCACGTAGCCCATCAATGCCCATCATACACGCTTTTGCGATGAGTAGTTTTAAGCACCCGCAGCGAGGCTGCGTCGATGAGATGAACCTAACGATCTCATGAATAATCATGTCAGGCATCACGGCACGCCCTGGTCTCGACAACAAGAGCGCTGCCAAACCATGTCAAGCAAGCTGAAAAGCAAGCACCTGGCTGCCAGCACGTAGCCCATCAATGCCCATCATACACGCTTTGCGATGAGTAGTTTTAAGCACCCGCAGCGAGGCTGCGTCGATGAGCATGCACGCCCTGGTCTCGACAACAAGAGCGCTGCCAAACCATGTCAAGCAAGCTGAAAAGCAAGCACCTGGCTGCCACCACGTAGCCCATCACTGCCCATCATACACGCTTTTGCGATGAGTAGTTTTAAGCATCCGCAGGAGGCTGCGTCGATGAGATGAACCTAACGATCTCATGAATAATCATGTCAGGCATCACGGCACGCCCTGGTCTCTACAACAAGAGCGCTGCCAAACCATGTCAAGCAAACTGAAAAGCAAGCACCTGGCTGCCAGCACGTAGCCCATCAATGCCCATCATACACGCATTTGCGATGAGTAGTGTTAAGCACCCGCAGCGAGGCTGCGTCGATGAGATGAACCTAACGATCTCATGAATAATCATGTCAGGCATCACGGCACGCCCTGGTCTCGACAACAAGAGCGCTGCCAAACCATGTCAAGCAAGCTGAAAAGCAAGCACCTGGCTGCCACCACGTAGCCCATCAATGCCCATCATACACGTATTTGCGATGAGTAGTTTTTAAGCACCCGCAGCGAGGCTGCGTCGATGAGATGAACCTAACGATCTCATGAATAATCATGTCAGGCATCACGGCACGCCCTGGTCTCGACAACAAGAGCGCTGCCAAACCATGTCAAGCAAACTGAAAAGCAAGCACCTGGCTGCCAGCACGTAGCCCATCAATGCCCATCATACACGCTTTTGCGATGAGTAGTTTTCAGAATCCGCAACGAAGCTGCGTCGATGAAATGAACCTAACGATCTCAAGAACATAACTACAAGCAGGTTGGTTGTCCACGCACATCCCAGTCATGTCAAACGATTGCAAACAGTGCCGCCAAGCCAGGTCAATGAAGCTGAAACACAAGACCCTCACTGCCAGTGTGTAGCCCATCATACATGCATGCGTGATGAGTGGTCGAAGCTGCGTCGAGATGAATCTGACAATCTCATGAATCTGATCATTTCCGAAGAACTATGAGCGTGAGTTTCTGCAGTTGTGGAGGCTGGAAGGTGTCTGGAACATGCTCGGTTGTTGCCGAACTTGTCGTGGAATGGTGACCGTCGGGCCTTCAGCGTGAAGGTGGATGCAACATACGAAGGTCGGCCATAAGCCACACGCAAAAGAGCAATCAGACTCTCTTGCATGGCACCCTGGAAAGACTCAGGATACAGGCCTCCTGAGCAAGTTGCATATTCTGTTGGCGAAGTTATGCTCAAAGGGGGGATTACGACAATGAGGGACCCCTGGATTCCCTTCTTTTTTAGTACCCCAATTAGTTAGCCCTATTCTCGTAAACCCCCATATTGGTGGAAGCCACTAAAGAACTAAAGAACTTTCGGCGTGGACACTCCAAAGTTGTCTCTCTGTTAACCTGAAACCCTGCCGTGCCTCTTTGCTTTCTGGAAGTCAACACCGCTTCAACACTGATATTATGTTGCTTGGGCAACTCGCAAGGCGCCTGGTTCAAGATCCCCTGAAAACAGCAACCCCCGAGTGCCCAGTAGACTGAACCGGCCTGTGGGCATGGAGGTAGCAAATAGCAGACAAGATCTGCCGTATGTACCTGCCCAGGTGTTGGGGTTTAGGGCTTAGGGGAGGAGACGCATCCCAAACCGATCGCTGAACCAATCATGGAGAGATGCCCAACCCCAAACCGCTAAACACTGCCCAAACTCTATAGGGGTCTATACAACCCCTACCGACCTACTCTCTGGCTGAGACGCAGCCCATGCCAGAGTGCAGGAAGCTGCTTCATCATTCGGTGCCAAACAGAAGAAACGGCGAGCCACGCTGATGGGCACACTTTGCTGCATGTCCTTCATCAAACCCGCTAGGCGCCTGGCCAGATCGCTTTTCTTTGGCAGTCGCTGACTAAATGAGTCCCCCTCTGTCCCACTCATGTCGAGCTCCGCCTCATCCACGATGCGATCAAAGAGCTCGCCGCCAGTGCAGAGCTCCATGACTAAGTAGATCTGCCACGAACGAAAAGAAGAAATTCTTGAAATTTGCTTTTAAAAAAAGAGCTGAAAGAGCTGAAAGAGCTGAGAAGCTGAAAGGACTGAGAGGGATCAAATCCCGACGGACAACACAGTGACTGCAGGCAACTCCAAACTAAAATCTAAACGAGAGCGCCCCCAGTTCAATGCCCAGTGCCTTCCGGGCATCTCTGAAGGTCTCATAGAGCCTCTCAGCCAGTTGCAACAGCCAAAGAAGCAACCGCCAGGCTTCCTTTTCATCGCTAACCATGTCAAGGCATGTTGCAGTCGCGAGCCTGACAACATTGGGATGGTCCAGCTTCTTCGCGATGTTGATTTCGCGCTGGAACCTGCTGTAGAATGTGCAAAAATGCTGCGCGGCTGTCCCAGCGACAAAGAACACCCAACCCTGGCCTGGTGGGGTTTTTCATGTTGCTGATGTCTATGGCTTTCACCGCCTTGATGGTCCAAAAACTGCAAGACATGAGCGGTGACCACACAGCAGCACAATGGAGCAGGCTAGCTAGTGATAGCCAGTGCAGCATGGCTACTTGCCAAACACCTGGTCGCTAACTCATGATCGTGGTCCCGTGGCCAGGTTCAACCCATCGCTAGGTTCTGAACTCGCTCCTGCCCCGTCTGCCTGGCACTGCAACCCATCACAATGGAAGCTGTCAAACGCAAGTTCACGTGCTTCTGCGAACGCTTGTGATCAAAGGACTCCATGGCAACTACACAACGCTCGCCATTCCCTTTTTGCCACCTGGCTTTCCTTTCACGAGCAGCGTCAGCGAGGTGACCGTTCGCTAACAGGTCCTTCCAAGATCCAAGCCCTTGGCGAAAGCCAAAGCAGCTGGCTGCGTGAAAGATCGGAATCATCGGAATGATCGAGAGCATGCTGTTGCGTCTGCAGCATCTGTTGCGTCACGGCCGCTTTGGCCCCAAACTTCTCTTCGTTGCATGCGAAACCATTGAAGGAGCTCCTGACCCTGACCAGCTTCACCTTGCTTAGGAGGCATCCATGAAAAACGGCCGGCAGGAACTCCTTGAGAAGCGACGTCATCTGTAGGCTTTACGCTGTGACGAAGTGCAACCTTGCTTGTCCACTGGGCCGTCACAAACCGTGCTTGCTCAGCACACTCCTCAAGTGTCATTCATCTCCAAGAGGAACAGGACAGCGGAGTGATTCTCTCTTCCGCACGTGCCCATCTCAAAGTAAAGGAGGCCGACTTCTTTTCTTTTCTCAGAAGGACCTATTTGCCTTTCAGCAGGCGTGGGTGCAGACATGCACATGTGAACGGTGTGCAGTTCTTGCTCTGCAAGTTGAACAGTGTGCGCACGCAACCATGCCTGCTGTGCTGCCCTCTGCAGGCTCATGGTCCTCGGTGTCCAGCTCTGTAGATACCTCCGATTTGGCAACGCTCTTCGGATGATATCAAAACCCGGAAGATGCCCGGCTACCAGGTCACCGCCTCTTCGTCCTCCTCATCACGGGGTCTCTGCTTGGGCCAACCCAGAGCTGTCAAGCAGCAGCACCAGAAGGCACTGCCTCTCTCTTAGCAGGCTGCGCTGCACATCCCCCGACACACAGATGCTACGCTCAGGAAGTTACGCAAACAGCTGAGCGCAGCGCACACGCTGCCTAGGTGAATGATCGCTCATTGCCGCAAGGGTGCGAAGGTACTGCGTCTGAGAGAATGCAAGCCAAGGTGCAATACGCCGTCATGCAAAATATCGACAGCATTATTGCCTAGGCAAAAGCACATGTTGAAAGCTGTAAGCCTCCATATGCCTCCGTGGAGCACAGTGGAACTCCCTTCCCTCGGTCTTGAAAGGTCTTGCAGCGCAGGAGCTGAGCGGTGCCAAAGAGTCACAGCGATGGCAAGGTGGTAGGTCCCCAGAGACATGTAGCCCTCCATGAAGAAAAACCTCCCCAAGTTGGCCCGCACTTCACCTCGAGGGCAGTGTCAGGCTCCAAGGCTCCATGCCACTGAAAGAACACAGATGATCGGAAGCTTCCTCCCTTCCCCTCTTCCCGAGCACCATCGTTCGGACGCAGGCTCACAGCATAGAGGAGGGCATCCTCGGATCTGGCAATGGCTGCAAACAAAGGAGTCAGAGTCTGCGACTCTAGGACATTTACGAAATGTGCAGGATGCCGCATCAAATCCCCATCCCAGGTGCGATTGCCGCAGGCATCTTGCCTTGCTGGTACTCTGCCACCGCCAAGTTGTTCAAGGCACCAGGGCTGTACGGATCCTTTCGAGACATGGTCAAAGAGTCACACAGAGTCACACCACCCCAACCACAGAAAGCACGCAACGTCCTGCTGCGCCACACCGCGCAGCACATCAGCCGCCTCCCGGTGTCGGCCGGTGTGCAGCAGGTGGTTGCCGTAGATGCGCTGCAGGCCCAGAGATGCCTGGGCCTTAAATCTCCCGCGTGGCTGCGTCATCACGCAAATCACGCAACATAACCTTCGCATTCCCCCAGCTTCACCGGCAGGTCCACTAAGCTAAGCTCCGCCACAAGCTTTGTTCGGCTTGTCGGGCGCTCCAACTTCTGCAGCGCCCCTGCGCCGTTTGCCTGAGATGTTCGAGCAGCATAATTCCAGGGTCTCAGTGCCAAACCTGCAACTGTGCATGGGCTCGGGCCCCTGGTCTAAAGATTCTGATAGGAACGTGGATTTGAAATGAAAGTGCGAATCCTCGCCGGCTGACGATGGCACGCCGATGCGCCACAGACGCAGCATCTGCCAGGTCGTTGCCAACCCGACCACGCACCCAGGCAACCAGGGCATGCCTGCATGGCTTCGTTTGGGATCGTTTGGGGAGCTGGAGAGCGGGTGTCAGCACAGCGATTCAGGTTCAGCAACCATGAAGATGGCAAGTCAGGCCTGACTCCCTTGGAGACTGGGAGAACGCAGTGGGCCATGTATGAAGGAAACGTTACCTGAGGTCCAGGAAGTAAACATTGAAAAGCCTTAAGTCCCCACAAATTCCTGAAGCTCCTGAAGCCCCGGACCCTGTACGAAAGCCCAAAGTTCAAAAGCCCCCCGATCTCTCCGCTGAAGGCGCTGCAGCGCCACGGCTGCGTGAGGCTTCCTCAGTGCCGACGACCAAGGAACCGCCTTGGTAGTCCTGGGAGGCCGAGAGAGGTTGAGGCTTTAGGGGGGGGGGGGGGAGATAAGGGTGTAAGCTGCATGAACTGAAAGGCAAAATTCCAAGGCACACTCCCGCTGGAGAGCTGAACGGAAAGAGACAGCAGGCGCCCCTCCGATTCAGAGCCCGGCATCAAGTCCTGAGGGCCAGCATTTGGGGATTTTTCGGGAGTTTGAAGTCTGTTGTTGGTTTTGTATGGTTTGTTGGGCCGGGGACTAAGCCCAGAGCGGTGTGCCAATCATAGTGGCCGTGAACATCCCCATCGTCTCCTGCTGCCTCAAAGCATCAAAGGCTGGAATCCATGGCACAAGCAGGAAAGCCCAGACATGTCGCCGCTGAGCTGCCGGATAGCCTCAGTGGTCAGGGCTCAGCTGGTGGCTACAGTGGTCCGAAGGCTTCCAAGAAACCAACCTACTACTTCAACATCCTTCAACCGAGTGGCTAACCAGGTTCAGCGGCTCCAGAAACTTCAAAGGCCCTTTGAGCTTCCAGTGCAACCGGTTCGTCTCGGTCGCAATCTGCCAGAGACGTCTGAAAACCCACTGGAACCTCAGGAAAAGTGGCACTCAGTTTTCTGCATTTACAATGCAGCCTTCAATGTGATGTTCCCAACATCATCCAACATCTGCTCCTAAAACACAGGTCTGGAAACCGAGCATCATCCGGATTCACTGTGTACATCTTTGCCACACGCACCTTCACTGGAAGCACTCCTGCCTTGGATCCACTGAGCAACGCCAGACTCATGCCTCCTCTTTCAGCAAGCCAGGACCGTGACTCCCAGAAACCAAGGCCTCACATGCTGCGTATTGAGTGAAGCGACAGATGGCGTCTCCGGTGCAGATTAGGGCGGATGGCAACTCCTGGCCAAGCTATTTGGGCGAGGATGTGGAATCCGGCGACACTAAGCGCCATGGAACCGATCAAGCCACAAAACCACAAAAACATGCAAAACCTGCAAAAACCTAGCAAGTCACACTTGAGGCCTCTTCACCAGGCCCGCCCATCCGGAGCAGCTCCTGACACTCCGCCTTCAGAGAGCTCGGGATTGGTGGGGTGGGAGCAGGCTTCTCTTCTTCCTGCACTGAAACGAATCATCCTAAACGCCCAGGTGTGGATTCCTAAAGCCACCGACCTCGGAGAAGGCATCTGGCACAGCTACCTCAGCAACAAGGGGCCTGGAGGGCTAACGTCCTTGTTCCCTCAACCCTGATTAAGCTTGCTAGCCAACCAATGCGCGTCTTGTGTTTGCTGAGACTTCCTGGAGGCAGCCCCTTTGATGCAAGCAAGCTACCATGAAACTGCCTTTGGCGACCGACCCCAGGTCTATGGCCTCCTCATCGTCCTGCACTTTGGGACGCCAACTCCTGGGCCAGCGCAGTAAGTTGAGGAGATGTTCGGTGATTGGTCCTGCTTAGACCAGGTTAACCCTGCACCAAGTCTCCATCGGTTTGCCGGCAAAGATGTAAGAATGGCAGACAAAACAACGGCGCCCGCACACATCCACCAGTAGAGCTCTCTGTAGGTTGGCATGGCATCGTGGCTTGCATGGCTCAACCGAAGTGTTTTGGCTCACCAAACATGAAGAATGCCTACTGCACACTTGATTTTAGGAAGCTCTCTATCTTGAACTGTCAGCATCTTGGTGTTTCATGGAGACAGCGATAACAGCAGCCTTCCAGAGCAACAGCGCAAGTGCCACGTCTGCCAAGGCAAGACAGAATAGTTCGCTCAGCATCCGCCAGCTTGCTGGGTATGAGTTCAACAATGCCACCCAAAGGGGCTCAAATTAGGCATCCAGCGATGCAAGCGAATCCAAGCGAGCGGTAGGGCTACTTGCTAGTCGCTCGAAAGGCACTCCCGAAGGAGCCCTCGCCAAGCGGCTTCTTCTGCACGCTGTAGGCATCCTGCCGCAAAGGATCCCCTCAAAACGTTTCAACTTTCTTGAAACCGTAAAAGCAGCGTCTGTCAAAGGGGTTAAGTGGTCGGTGGCCAAGTCCTCAAGACGTTCAGACTTTGCCAGGTTACTTGCAACAGTTTAGACTGCAATCTGATGGTGGTGGTGGCGGGGCCAGATCGGGAACTAGTTTCGGAATTCTGTCTTTGATTGGGGCGTCGTTGGTTGATTCGTGTGATTGGCACGTTCTTGGTAAGTTGATCCCCTGCTTCATCCGGACCTCTCATGCTTCGTTCTTGTTCCGTTCTGTGACATTTCATGCTTCATGCTTTGTTCCACTAACTTGCTTCTTTGCTCGCGCAGAAACGTCGTTCTGTCTGTTCGCTGGTTCGTTCAGGTTAGTTCTGTGTTGCTTTGTTGGCACAATGGTTCCCCACTGCCCTTACATTGGGTTTCTACTAACATCCTTCAGGCCCTGCATGTCTTTGTTTGACCTCTCTTTCTTCTTTTTCGCGTGAACTGTAAAACCTCCCAAGATGTACCACCGACTTCGCTTGCTGACGGCGGTTCACTTTCATTCATGGAACCAGACAGAGCAAATTCTGCTTGCATCCATCACAACTTACAAGCTGAACTCTAAAGCCTACAGGCAAAACACCGCGAATCGACAAAGGAAAGGCCCAGGTGATCCTCAAGGCAGCCGGCAACTTCCCGCGTGAAGTCATGGGCAAACACGAAAGGACCTAAGGCCGGTCAACGGACTGTGACATGTTAAGAGAGAGAGAGAGAGAGAAAAAAAAAAAAAAAAGAAAGAGAGAGAAAGAGAGAGAGAGAAGGAGATTAAGTGAATAAAACAAACTTAAGCCCCAAACCCGAAGGATTCCGTGCCAGCTGCAGGGACTCGGGTGGCTCGGAGCCCTCGGAGGGCGAGGCGTCGGCCTTGCATTCCGTGCTCTCTTGGACGTTCCAGAGAACTTGAACTTGGTCGTGTTATGTCGTGTTAGGGTAGCACCTGGAAAGACTCCTCCGCCATCACGTCATACCATCTCGCATTTCAGCAGACAACTTGGCCTGGCTGATTCTCTTCTGCTGGGTGTGAAGTATGTGGAGTCAAAACTCTGATGTGTGTTTACTCTTCGTTCAGGTTGAGGCGACTGTCAACTTCAACGAAGCGTCTTGCCGACTGAATCATGTCATAGCTGTAGATGGGCTGGCGTAGCTCTTCATCCTCTGTGCGTTGCAACTTGCTTCGAGCGTGCGGGCATACGACAATCGCATTTACATTGTAAGCAAGCGAAGGAGAATGAGATTGTCCCACACAAAGTTAGCAATTTTGCTTCTAGGCGTTCGTCAAGACGGACGTCTGGACAAGCTTGCGCTTTTCACAAGCTTGCGAACTTGTGCACCTACGTCAAGCTTGCGGCGATTGATGCAACTCTTGTCTCACATCTCTGACATGGCAAAGCGAGGTCTTCTGGCTCTGCGAGGTACCTCACACTCAAAACAAGCCCGAAACCAGGGCATAGTTGCAATCTGCAGGACTGCACCACCCCCGGCCTGTCTGCTGCTGAGAGCAGCCGCGATTCGCTCCTCCGAAATGCCAGCCGCACTGGCAGCCTGATCTCCAGCTTGCTCGTTGCAGGCGCAAGCTAGTTGCAGGCACTGAGCATTCATAGCATGAGATGTCTGACGAAACGACCTCTCTTAGGCCGTCAGCACGGAGCGCACGGGCAGCACCTGCTTCGTACGCGGCTCACCATGCGCCCAAACTTTCAGCGGGAACCTCCGACACATCAAGCCCGGAACTGATCCGTGCATAGGGATCTGGATCCTGCAGGGCCACGCGCAGAACGAGCCCGCTCACAATGCGGCTGCTGTGAAGTACTCATGCAGCTAAAGCCTGCAACACCGTTGAAGCACATTTGATCACATTTGTAAGGTGACCGTTTTAACATAGTTGTAGTTGTAGTTCATAAAACCTCTTCCGCACCTCCAGGAGCCGCGACAAGGCTTTGACCTCGCCGGCAGCTGCAGAGCCCAGGCGGCCCAAAACCTCAAAAAAATCTCTCGAGAAAGAGAGGCGGAAGAAGCGCATGTAGAGCTTTCTCAAGAGACTTTGTTCATAAAGATGCTTCTTTTCACAAAAGAAAGCGCAAAATGGCAAAAGCGCAGTGCAGCGCAGATCATTGCGCTTTGACCTCGGCCCCCTCGCCTCGGCGGCTCTGCGCCGGAGGTCGCCGTGCGCATCACGGAGCCAGGGCACCAGGGCAGGAACCGCGGCCTCAGACTCGCTCTGTCTTCTTAACAAGAGCGCAGAATGCTGTTCAAAAAAGAACATGATGGGACTATTTGGGGTATCATCTCTGTTCAGTCCACGCTGGCACTAGAGTACACTGCTCTCTCCCCTGCTTCCTGAGCTTGCTGGCCGGCCCCATGGAGGCGAGCAGCTCGGCGGCGCGGCGGCGGCCCTGGCCAGCACTAGAGGCTATATTGGAGAGCCGCTCATGGCTTGACAAAGAATGGGGGCACTGAGGGTTGCACGCCAGGGCTCTCGTGGCTCATCATCTCGGCCGCCCCACGGGCTCCGACCTCTCCCAGTTTCTCAAGGCCTGCGGCGGCCAATTGCTGTGCCTCCTGCCAGATTCATCAGATGGTCTTAGAGCTCTTCTCACAGCCCTTGATCTCTCCTTCTGTTCGGAGGCAAGCTGCGTAGCAAGTGCAGAGGCACCAAGCTCACCCCTGAGGCTGAGCGCCTGTGCAGTCAATCCAAGTGTCGGTAACTTAATGGCACATTGCACAACCGGCGCCTCCAGGGCAAAGCTGCACACAGGGGAGTCTTCAAGACGTTGGGCCAGTGCCAGGGCTGCGACACGGGAGAGCTTGGGTATCCTGTCAATGCGCTTGCGCGAGGCGTGCCAAACCCAAAACTTCGCAGAGGCTTCACTCTCACGTCTGATCTGTCTGCTACCTTGCACATCCGCCTGGACAGCCCCCAAGCTGCAGAGAGCCGGACATCAGCAGAAGCATCTTGCAACCTGGACGTTCAGCAACAATCAGACCAATCGCTCGCAACTTGCTGTAGACTGTAGATGACGCCACACTGTAAAAAGCCGCACGTCTTTGTGCACAGTTGCAGCTCTCCTGGCCTGTCCACAAGTGCATCACTGCCCGCATCGCCGGCCATGGCCAATGCTTCTGCGGCATTCCGTCGGCTCATGGGGTCGGAGCCTGCATGATGACTCTGACAGGGGCAGAGCAAGAAGGGTGGAGGTGTCTTTTTTGGTGTGTGGGGGGGGTTTGGGGCTTTAGGGCTTAGGTTGTTAGTGTTTGTCGGATTAAAGATTGGGTTTAAGATTCAAGATTGGGTTTAAGATTCTTAGAGCTTTAGCGTTTAGGTTTCTTTCGGACGTAGATTTTTCAAGGCTTCGGGATTGGGATTTGGGGTCTGGGAGTTCAAGATTTGCTCCACACCACCCCTTCAACAACAAAATTATTGAGAGCAGCCTACATTGTCTTGGTGTGGGTCAAGCGCATCTTGATTCTGCACATGTCTCTAAGCCGCACAAGCTTTCACACACCGAAAACAGCAAGCAACCCATACATAGCACGAACACCTGCAACATATATACTGTAGCAGGCTTTCATCAGAGCAGCACCAGCGACTGCGGCCATGCATGCCGAATGCGCCTCCCAGGGCAAAATGTAGGGCGTCGACACCGGTGCGCCCAGAGGCCACCAGCGATGTCATGGCCATGCGATGCGTAAGGTTGTCACAGTCCTCTTTGCTGTGCTGCAACAACGCTTCATGATGCTTCCGGACTGAATCAGCATCTTTGCAACTTTCCGGGCCCGAGGTCCTCTCCAAGTCTCGATGCCAAGGCCTGCGCTCCTGCCTGGTGAGAGATGCTCTGTGCCATGAAAGATACGAAACGGAACACACCATCACCGGCCTCCCCCATCCAATACAGCATGGCTGCGGACCTGCGGTCGCCTGCCCAAATGTGGAGCAGCGGGATTTCCGTTGACTGCCGGCAGTAGCCGCCTAATGTATAATCTGATCTGGCTTGCTGTAAACTGCACTGTCAACGGCCTCCAACATGGGATGCGAGGATCTTTGTGTGCTCATCAGCGAGCGGTCCTCCCAAGCTCTCAAAATCTCGGCGTGCCCGACTGATTGCACTTTTCGTACATGGAATGCTGATCTCCTGCATCTTTGAGCTTGCGCGCAATTTCAATGCGCTGCCTGCAGGCTTCACTGCGGTCTGGCTCGCAACGAAACGCAACCACAATGAGCAACATTCTTCTCACTCTGACACAGTCTCCTCCCCCAACTGTGAGCTTAAGGGCCGCGGTCAAAGTTCAAACGCTTGCAGACATGGACAAAGTCAAAAGGGGACAGTTGCAATGGAGCCCATCTACTCAAACAGGGATAAACGCACCTCGAGTCAGTGGAAAGATGGCCATGCAATGCACAGGCGGATGGCAGGGCATCCGCCATGGCTGCGGGCCAAACAAACTACTACATACTACTACATCCAGTCTAAGAGCTTTCTTTTTACACAGGGCGAAGCTTTGCCTCAATAAGCATCTGCCTTGATCGAGGCCAGCCTTCCTCTCCCAACACCTGAACCAAGGTTGCCACCCGGTTGACGTTAAGGCCCTAAGCTTTCCGGAAAGATCCCTGCTGGAACCGCAACTGCAAAGCGGACACGTTCACGGCTTCTAAACGTCACATTGCCAGAAAAACGAGCAGAGGGCTGCCCAAACGACAGCTGACCTGTCATGAACGACGCTTCCGGCTTGCAGACGCACAACATCACGCTAGCGTCAACTACAAGCTGCCCGCATGCAGATGGCAACATTCATGAATGGCGATTATAACTTGCCCTGTGCCCAGGTGCGAGCTGACGGTTGCGCTGCCAGACTTACCAGCTTTACCCTGTAACATCCCCAAACAAATCATTGTTCGCGCCAGCATGCCGGATCGTGACCTTCACAGGCTGCACACATGATGGTCAGCAGCGGATTCGGAAACTGAAAACGCGTGGGTTCGTAAACTAGAAACCAAATGCACGTATTCGAGAAACTACAAAGCGGGTTCGGAAACTGGAAGAACGTGTTTAAGAAACTGGCAAAAGCGGATTCGGAAACCGCGGATTCGGGAAACTGGAAAACCACGGATTCGGCGAGTCGCCTAGTTTCTTCAACTGCCGGAGATTCTTGAATCCTGGTTTTCTGAGTCGCATCCAGCTTCTCAATCGCGCGTCGTTCCCACATGAGAGCCGTCCTGTCAATATCAAACACCAACTGAACTGTGTCCACAGCCAGCGGCCCGAATGAAACACCTGGAGATTACCGGAGCACTGTTTTGCCTGTGTTTCCCTACAAACTCTTGCCAGCGCCAGCCTCCGGTAGCAGACGTGAGGTCTCAGCACGGCGATGAGCATCAAGGCTGCATTCTTCAGTGGGACCCGATTGTCCTTCGTCTTTTGCCAAATGAGGCACGGACCATGGGGCTTGAACCATTCCAGCCGAATGGCATGTCGCAACTGCCACCAACAGCCCATTGAACAGCTCAACATTACTCAACGGGCTTCAGAACGAGCACGGATGCCCCATGAATTCGTCTGTGCGGAGCGTGCGGCAAGCTGGAGTCCATCGGCCAGGAAGACCAGCTCTTGACAACGATGAGTTGTCCGCCACCCGTTAAAAATATGCTGTAGCACAGCTACTATCAAGCACCACAGTGGAGCTCACGTGGCACCTGCGAATCTGTGCTAAGCAGACCATGCTGATACGTATCTGAAGAACAAAAACGCTGTGCAGGCGACGTAGATGCCTTTTGTTTCTTGCAAGCTTGGCAAATCAAACTTTCGACCGGCCATGACAAAAAGGAGCTGCAGCTTGTCCCTTTTTAGGCTGGCTCCGCTCTTCTGCGCGAGTTTGGCTGAGATCACTATGCCACTATGCCTGCCCCTCTATGAACTTGCAAGATGGCTAAACCGCTCAGGACATGGTGTGCAGGATCCTCTGGATGGCTTCTGCACAGTGCGCCTTCGGACCAAAGACATCCGAGAGGTTCCTGCCAGTCTTGTCGCCCGAGGCAGCCCTGGCGAGACACCCCGCCACACCCTGCAATGCAAAAACGAATGCCCTGCAAATGCCCTGCAACACCCTGCAACGCCCTTCAGCTTAAGTAGCATAAAGTGAAGCAAAGCTGCAAGATGATGGCAGAAATTCCGTGGTGATCTCCCAATCGGTCTGGCTCAACTCGCGACGGCGGGTCAGCCGCCATGCCGCTCACCCTGACGTCCTCTGGATCCTTCATGTTCACCGGCCGGATGTACTTGAAATTTTTCTCCGGGCCCTTGAGGTTGCGTGCCGACCTGCGGGTTGCACTACCGTGATCATTACCGCTACGACCAAACACCCCCCAAGCCCTCAGAAACCTACAGGCCATAAGAGCCCTAAGAACCCCTGAAAGCCCTAAGAAAACCTGAAAAACCCTAAGCCCTAAGCCTCTGGGCCTGGCCAGCTCCTCGGCCGCCTCGCGGAGGCTACGCTCCAAGCCCAGCAGGCGGCGCTGCGCTGGTGGAGAATGCCAGGGCTCCGAAGCCTGAGATGTTTCTGCACTTGCCGAGGGCCTGTTCGAGGACCGGCTCGGATTCCCAAGCATTTGCTCTGGTGTGGAAGCCCGGCGTCCGAAGATTTGAGGCTTTGAGGTCTTGCTTGGCAGTGTCAGTGCTTGGTATGGAGGGAACCCGAAGCTGACAGCTCTCCTACATCTTATTACTGCGCCCCCAAACACATCCTGTGCACACGATGTGTTGGGATTCGTTACGTCTACCGGGTCAGTCGGCTAACGTGCCTCATGCGGTGAACCGCCGATTCCATCAAGCCACAATTTCGTCGGCCATGCGATCCAGCAGCTGTCGTACTTCTTCCTAGCGTCGGATTGAGATCTTGCACCACGCATGGGAAGGCACGGCAAGCCGACATCTTTAAGCAACTTCTGGCCTCTCGGTCGCGCAGCGCTAGTTTCGAAACCTGATGAAATGCGGCGATTGGAAGGCTATCGCGAAACATGAGAAAATATGTGTGAGCTCTCATGTGAGTTGTTGTGAGCCGGAAAAGCCTCGTCTAGCTCGCCGGCCGCTGCATTATCAGCAGCGCCTGGGCATAGACAAGCCAACACACAAGCAAGAAATGAAGTATGTCGATCTTGACAGCAGCCTACTTGACGTGTGTGTGCGACCCGTGCGCATACGAGCACCTACGACACGCAGACTAGGACCCTCAGCTTCGAAGAAAACCCAATCCTTGCAGAGCCGAGCTTTGCTGGACCCGGATACACAAGCCGCGCTGGCTGAAAGTTGGTCCACGGCGCACAGTTCCTCTGCAACCACCTCGAGCGCGCGGCGCCGAGGTGCCAAGAGCGCCGAAGGTGCTGGAGCAGTATCCAGGCCTGGAAAAACGAGGCTGATATCAAGCGCATCGGCAGGCTGTCGGATGAACGATACCTGAGCCACACACTCTGCAGAAGCAAGTGCAGTCGTTGCACCAACGGCGCGACCTGAAACGAGGATTTCTATCCACAACTCCTTATTGCAGATCTGCAAGTTGCGATTGTTGCACATGTATGCGCCTCCATCGTGCGGGGTGGAACAAGCGAATGCTCGATAATGCAAGTGGAACGACGTTATTTTGCTAGTGCTGTCACAAGCTATAGTAAACATTGCTGACAATGCCATCTGCTATTTCCCTAACCCACTTGGCTATGGATGACAGCTTGAGACGTCCGGCCAGCCCATATAATAACTCAGGCCCTGAATCCCAACGTTGCATTGACATTGAAAATCATACGCAGAACTCAAAACATTCTGCTTGCATCTATGTTGTGTTTATTCACTTTGACTTCAATAGTTGCCCTGCAAAGGTCAAACCTTTGCTGTTTCAGCATACCTGCGATCTGGTGAGATTTCACCTCACATGGTCCTGGTTGATCAACAATCGGGCCTGGCGTGCCTAGTTGATAGGCCGGTAGCTTCGGCTGCTGCTGTTGCTCGTTGTCAAAACCTTTCGGCTCCACTTCCAAATCAACGAAGAACTGTTCTTTGAGCCTCCCGAAACCGTTCGCAAGTTTAATCAAGGGTTGAAAAGCAAGGTTTCTGCGAGCCCACGGATCTTTCAATACGTCCATGGCTTTCGCTCAGAGTCTCAAAGTTTGCCATACTCACCTGTGTGGGTCACGCGTTATACTGTATATACTTGTACTGTTCAACGTAGATGCCGTACTGTGAATGTCCTCTCAAGCCGTTTGCCTCAGATCGGTCGCCTTTTCGACAGCTTCACCTGGATCTGACCGTGGGAAATAAAGGGTAACCCGAGTAAAGAACTCCAGCTGGGCGACAAGCCGGATTCCCGACTTTTGGTTGCAACCTGTCAGAAATAAGTTTCTCGTTTGCTGTTTTGCACGTGGTCTACGCTGTGTTTTCGTAGGAGGTAAGGAGGAGGGGGAAACGGACAACCCAAACCTCCACCCCCCCCCCACCCCTCTCCTTCTTCCCTGCTCTCCCCCTGCTCTCCCCCTGCTCTCCCCCTGCTCTCCCCCTGCTCTCCCCCTGCTCTCCCCCTGCTCTCCCCCTGCTCTCCCCCTGCTCTCCCCCTGCTCTCCCCCTGCTCTCCCCCTGCTCTCCCCCTGCTCTCCCCGTGCTCTCCCCCTGCTCTCCCCGCGCTCTCCCCCTGCTCTCCCCGTGCTCTCCCTGTGCTCTCCCCGTGCTCTCCCTGTGCTCTCCCTGTGCTCTCCCTGCGCTCACCCTGTGCTCTCCCTGTGCTCTCCCTGTGCTCTCCCTGTGCTCTCCCTGTGCTCTCCCTGTGCTCTCCCTTGCTTTCCCTTTGCTCTCCCTGTGCTCTCCCTGTGCTCTCCCTGTGCTCTCCCTGTGCTCTCCTGTGCTCTCCCTGTGCTCTCCCTTGCTTTCCCTGTGCTCTCCCTGTGCTCTCCCTCTGCTCTCCCTCTGCTCTCCCTGTGCTCTCCCTGTGCTCTCCCTGTGCTCTCCCTCTGCTCTCCCTCTGCTCTCCCTCTGCTCTCCCTCTGCTCTCCCTCTGCTCTCTGCTCTCTCTCTGCTCTCTCCCTCTGCTCTCCCTCTGCTCTCTCCCTCTGCTCTCTCCCTCTGCTCTCTCCTCTGCCTTCCCTCTGCTCTTCCCTCTGCTCTCCCTCTGCTCTCCCTCTGCTCTTTCTCTGCTCTCTCTCTGCTCTTCCCTTGCTCTCCCTCTGCTCTCCCTCAACTGCTCTCCCTGCTCTCTCTGCGCTCTCCCTACTCTCTCGCTGCGCTTCCCCTGCGCTCTTCCTGGCCCTGCTCTCTCCCTGCACTCTCCTGCTCTCTCCCTGCACTCTCTGCTCTCTCTCTGCCCTTTGCTCTCCCTCTACTCTCCCCGGCCCCCTCTGCTTTCTTCCCCTGCTCTCTCCTCCTGCTCTCCCCCTGCTCTCTCCCCCCTGCTCTCTTCCCCTGCCTCCCCGCCACTTCGTTCGTTGCCGTTGGACGTGTAGGAGGGAGTCGGAGTGCAGAGTGGACTCTGAAGCTTCGCTGTTTTGCTGTTCGAAAGTGACCTGAAGTCTCCGAGGTGTAGACCAAAGTTGCATTGCTCTTTTGCTTTACCTTTGTAGAACAAAGTTGAGATGGAATTCGTGGCTTTTTGGAGCCCTGAGCTCTTGGAGAGAGCTTGCTGCAAGAACTGAAGCTTGCTGAACACTTTGGTGTTTGGCTTCCATGCCAGCGACGAGTTTACAGCCTGCCACCGCTTCAAGTGGTGGTTCTGTTGGAGAAAGTTTGGTGGTGGAGATGCTGCGAGTAATGCAGCAACAGCAGAGACAGCAGGAAGCCGTGATGGACAGTGCAGGAAGCAGTTGGAACAGAACCAACAGCTTGTAGCCACCATGCTTCGTCGCATGGACAGCGAAGAGAAGAGGAGGAACGATGCCGAACTTGCAGCTGCTGAGGCGAAGCCAAGGCGGAAGCCGCAGCGGCATCTGCACCAAGTGACCCGTTCCTCGCTGCAACTTCGTCCACAGGAAGTTCACTTCCTTCTTCAAGGCCCAAAGAGACTGGAATTTCATCATCAGACACTTGGAGGACGAAATCGCCAAGGCGGAGATCAAGTTGAGCAACTTCCCCGAGTTGAAGCTCTCCGAAGCGGATCGCTGTTTCATCCTGCTGCAGGCCGTTTCGCATCCGGCAAGGCAGCACGTGGCGCTGCACGGCAACGCCAACAGCTGGAGTGAGCTCACGAAGAGCCTCAAATACTTCGAAGAACAGCTGAGGATGTGCGACGTGCCGACTGCAGCAAACCGCAGAATGGACGGCAAGCTTTGCGACCATTGCGGCAAGCGTGGTCATGTGGCAAAGGATTGCTGGTCACGACAGCGTGAGGCTGGTGAGAAAGGCGGCAAAGGCGGCAAGGGCGGCCAGGGAGAGTCGAAGAGTGGAAAGGGCACTGGTGGCCCTCAAGGACAAAGGTCACCCACTCCGAAGGGCGCGCCTCGCTCTCCAACGCCGAAAGGAAAGCCCACCTCCAAGGGAGAGAAGGGTGAAAAGGGAGAGAAAGGCGGGGTCAAGGGCAAGAAGAAGAAGAACCGCGCCCGGGCTATGGGAGAACCAGAGTCCGAGGCGGAAGCAGAGCCTACACAGAGTGTGATGGCGATGCGCTTTGCCCAACGAAGTCCTGAACTGAGGCTTTCTGAGTCGCATGAGCGTAGGGTAGTTTTTCACTCGACAAGCAACGTTTGGGACCTGTTAGCAATTCTTTGACTGCAGGGGATGTAGAGCGCATCTGCGCCAGCTTCCAGCTAGAACCGAGAGACGTCTGGTTAGTGGATTCTGGAGCCACGTCACGTGGTTTCCTCGGAACACCTCAGCGGATTCAGGGTGGTCAAGAAGCACGAGAGAGAGGTCACTCTGTACAACGCTTCAGGGGGGAAGATTCCCGTATCGGACGTCGTCGACTTAGAGGTCGTTTTCGGTGATTGTAGCCTTCTTTTGACTGAGGTTCTCGTTGCGGAAGTGACGTTTAACGCCATTAGTCCCTGGGCGGCGGTGGAGAAAGGGTGGAGAACGTATCTCTACAAAACCGGGTCTAGGTTGTACAAAGGCAAACGCAACGTGAAACTTGTATCCGCTAATCGGGCCTGGTGGGCTTTGAGCGGGGGTCGCCGCCAGAAAGCGGGGAAAGGTCGTTCTCCGCGCCAGCCTTCGGGCTCGGACATGGAAATAGACGCGATTACCTGCCTGCAGGACTCTGTTGTTAAGCCACAGCCAGGACCGAGCATCCTCAAGAAAGCGACGACAGGAGGAAAGAAGGCGGAAGTCGAGAAGCCACAAGGAAGAGAGAGCGGTGATTGCCGGCATGCTTTGCTTGAGACGCCGTTTGCTTTCTTGCTGCGAGGGCTTAGAGCCGAAGTATCCCCGAAAGTGGTCCCTGAAGTTCCTCAAGAATACCCCGCAAGCACCCTGAGCGTGCCCGAAGTGCACAGAGCTTACCCCGAAACACCCCGAAATTGCCCGAAAGTACCCCGAAAATGCCCTGAAATGGCCCAGAAGTCTTTAGGAAAGTCTTGCTGGCGTATTTTGGCATGGTTCTTGGCATGGCTTGTGGCATGTTTTGCGGTGTGTTGGCATGAGAGTTTTGTTTTCGAAGAAGGAAGGATCGGCGCATGCGGTGCGCAGCTCTGTTTTGGGGGTTGGAAGAAGAATGACGCGCTAGGCGCGCGAGCCAAAAAGAGCAAGGAGGAGATGTTTTACCATGATTTTCAAGGGTCCCAAGCCTTAACGCAAGGCAGCGCTGGCATGTTTGACATGTTGTCTTGTGCTTGCGCTGGGCATGACGTCCCTAGAACCCTTAAGCATGGCATGTGTGCTTGTGC